AGCACCTTGTCTTCCCTTCGATGGCTCCAGCTCTGGAGGCTAGAAGTTGCCTCCAGCTCATGGATGGGTGTGCTTCTCATACCTCCAGAGATGATTCTGTATTTTGTCAAGTTTGTGTAGGTTTGATCTGGCTACAGTGGAGTATGCTCCCACTCTTGGTCATACGTAACCTGTGCATACTTGTACAGTGTTGACATCTGCACCCCAACTTGTTCCAGTAAGTTTCTTTATAAGTCTGAGCCACAGGGTAGCTTTCCTTTTGGTGTCTTCAATGTGGGCACATCAGGTTAGTCTTTTGTCAAATTTTACTCCCCAAATTTGTGGGTTTATCCTCTTTTGGAAGAATGTTGCATTCTATGTACAGATCAGCTTGTTCTGTTTGTGGAAAGAGAGAGGAGAGTTGAGATTGTCTGGTTTTTGTCTGGTTTTTGTGCCTCCCCAAGAGTCTGCGCGCTTATCAATGACAAGTCAGATGAGACAGGTGTGCTTGGCGTCCCATGGGGCTGATTATCTTCCATGCTGCATACCTGTCCAAACCATTGTAACTGTGACTGATCCATTCGAGTTTGTAAGGACTGTATTTCAAACTCCAGTATCAGCCAGTCTTATCTGGCTTTAGTTATCACATCTCAATGGCGTCACATACTCAACAGATATTATCATACATGTTTTGCCAATAATCTTGTCATAATATTACTATAAGTAACAACAATCAAAGATAATAAATAAGGTGTTTATTTGTTAGAATCAATGAGCTGCCAGGAGCAGAAAACTCCAATTTGGAATAAACATTTTCAGCTGATGGGGATAACACTGAGCTATCAAGTGGTAACTCAACAATTTCAGTTGATGAGAATAACACTCAGCTGCCATCAGCAAACTCAACTCACTAACTGGATAAACATTCTTAGTTGATAGGGATAACATTGAGCTATCAAGTGCCAACTTAACAACAATTACATAAACAACTAGCTGACGAGGATAACACACTGAACTGTCCAGTGGTAACTCAACAACATTGATATAAACAATTTAGTTGATGAGGATAACAATGAGCTGCACCAGTAGAAGATAACACTGAGATAAAACAGCGAATAAAATCCTTGTATGATTATGGGAGATAATCAGATAAGGGTCAACAACAACATTTTTTTTTAAAGTCTCTTAGATCATGATGTTCCGCTCGCCAACCCGAATGTCTCATGGTTCAAATCCACATTGAGTCTGAATTGTGGGTGTGTGCACAAATGAGCTTGACTCCCAAGTGGACCTAGTCTAAAATGGGTCCTGCCGCACCGCTGGTGGGACAATGGTCTTTAATCTTTACTCTATAATCATGGCACAACAAAATAAGACAAGAAAGCTGATTTTAGTAAAATCCTATGGTGGGACAATGGTCTTTTGTTCTTTGAAGCCCCACTCTGGCTTTTGCCAGGGGCCGCATATGGCAGGTCAACATTATGGCCAAATGTCTAACGCGGTTTCTGGGACCTCTCCACAGTGATCCTCATCCGCATGGTGGCACTTTGTGTCATCGGGTGTTTATCGCTTGTGTGATGTCCTGGTGGGGTAAAAAATCCAATCCAATCCTAAAATCCTATGCAAACAGCAGTAATGCTACCAGTTGCTGTAAACTAACTGGTCTCTCCCCCCCCCCCCCCCCCCCATAAAACAAAATAAAAGACAATAAAATAACAAATCAGAAACATCACCATGAAACTGTTCTTATTATTTTATCCAATGAAAGAGAAAGAAGTTATAAGGACACTGTTAAAACGTGTTTCATTCTAAAATTATTTCCTCCATTTTCATGTGGACAAGAAAGCATAAGAGAGACAATATTTAATCATACTTCTGACACCATCCTGATGCCATGTACTGTTCAAACAGTGGCCATCAGAAACATCAACAAGGAAAACAACATTTTTTAAAATTTAACAAAAACCTGTTAAAACAAAGTAATTAACTCGTAGACATAATAAACTGGACGGACATCAAATTCAACACAACAACCAGTAGCAAACTTTACCTACGGGAGCTTTAGATGCTCACCTGCGGATACAAAGGTAGCGGACTTAAATCCAATTGGTGCCAGATTTTTTTCAAACATGACCTTGGCTCCCAGGTCGACCAGACTTAAATAGGTAACAAGTAAAAACATGGGAAGTCAGCGTGACGTAGATCCAACTCATCACCCTCCGAGGGCAGACTGGTCTATAAAAATAAAAGTCAACCTCATTTTCCCAATGCGACCTTGGCCTTACAAGACAGGTTTCCTACCCGAATGCACAGCATGAGTGAGCCTGACTGTCAGATTATGTTTTCAGGCGTTACAAAAAGTGATGACTCACACTGCACTTTTTGTGCCATAACAAAAACCTTGAAGTCACCAGACTGATATAAGAAAATGTATATGACATCACCTACAAATTTAAACATCTAAAACAAAATATCCACTTCTCATAACTGATAAGGCATGCAATTTGTATTTACAATTTTAGCACCTGTATTAAAATGGGTTATGCCGCAGTAAATTTGTGACCATGTCAACAATTAGAGAACTTGAATTATTCTTCTTCTCTTCTCCAGGTGCTCTTTTACCGCTTCAGGTGTCAAGGGAGACATAAGGTCCTGCTTTATGCTTTTCTGGCTGCTTCGACCAAAGACACATTGTGGTACTGTAGAGTTTCTCGTGATGTTATCCTTTCATCTTGTTCTTGGTCTACCTCTTAACTACCTCCCTCTCCTCTTTTGGTATATGGTATAGCATCAAAAGGCATTCTCTCCAGGTGGGCAAACCATTTGATTTGCTGTCTTTGCATGTAATTTAGAACTGGTTCTGTGCAGACTCATTCCTGATTGTATCTCTTCTGGTCACTCCTACAGCCTTTCTCAGACACCTCATTTCCATGGTTTCTAATTTTTGCTTATGTTTTGTTGTGAGTGCCCATGTCTGGCACTGATAGCATAGGGTAGGAATAAATAGGCTTTGTATGAGATGTCTCTTTGTGCTGACTGAGATTGCCTTAAGCTGTAAGAAAGGGGCTAGCTGTCCCAATACTTGGCCTGCTTTACTGCATCGAATGTCAATTTCTTTGTCAAATTTACCATCTTCAGTAAATGTTGTTCCAAGATATTTAAACTCAGATGCCTGTTTGACATTACTTCTGTCTTTTCGATGTTGATTCTCATGTTATTTGATTTACATTCTTCATTCATGGATGTGAGATAATGATGCAAATGTATGGCTGTATCTGCAATCAAGACCTGGTCATCAGCAAAGAGTAATTCGTTGATGTTACTATTATATTCGTTCCTGGGCCTGGCATCCTTGCTTGTACTGTCAATGTAGGTGATAAACAGGAGTGGTGATAAAACACATATCCCTGTCTTACTCCAGATGCTACTCTGAATGGTTTAGATGTTCCCAGGTTTATTCTAACTACGCTTCTACAGTCGCTATATAAGCTTTTGCAAACTTCAATAAGGCGTTCAATTACTCCATATCGAGCCATTACTTTTGTCTATCGACCCTTTCGTAAGCTTTCTCTTGGTTTACAAATGTTACAAATAAGTTCTGATCATATCCGATGTACTTTTCTGTTAAATGTGGTTCTATTACTGGTCGCAGCCTCGTTTCTATTATCTTAGCATCCTTTTTTTTTTCCAAAACTGACTTAAAAGAGAGATACCTCGACACTGATTGCATTCTCGCTTGCTTCCCTTCTTCTACAATGGAACAACTATTGCATGTTGCCAGTCGATGAGAGCAGTTTCTTTGTACCCATGCCGCACTGAATATTTGATGAATTTTTAGCTAGTTGTTTTTAAAACTATTTAAAAATGTTCATGAAAACAAGCCTTCATGAGCAACCACAAGAAGAAACCAAAAAATACAAAGACATCAATAAATGCATTGAAGTAATTATTTTAAGGCCTTACACTATGCAAATGTGTGAAACAAAAACATGCAACCAAAATTAAGAAAGCAGTACTTAATTCAGAGAATGCATAGTTGGTTATTTCTGTCTTTTGTTGTGGTTTCTCTCTTGCTGTCTGCTGTGAAAGCCTGCTGGTGCAGTTTCCTTTACTGTCATTGTAATGTTGTAAAAGGATGGTGCAGCAGCTAAATACCTGCCTGTCTGTCCAATAGTTTTAGGTTCAAACCCATCAAATCCCTAGCACTCTCAGGTTGACCCAAACTAAATGAACACCAAGAAATGTCCTGGAAGGTAAAGGCAACCAGAAAGATGTTGACCATCGCCCACTGAGCCTGACCGGCCAATTATGTGTCAGATGGGCCTGATAACCCTTGACCTTTTAGAAATCAGCAATGTGTCGCTGACCTGTACTTAATGTTGTTCAATCATTTAGCAGCCAACTATAAAACAACTGGGCAAATTATTGTACGTACAACACATGAGTACATTAATCTGCATATAACAATTCAGTACATCATCTGTGTAACACATGAAATCAATTCAAAAGCTGTCTCAAATCTGTCACATAAGCTGCCGTGATGTAGCGGCGAGACGCCCGCCTGCTGATCATGTAGCGGCAAGACGCCCGCCTGCTGATCATGTAGCGGCGAGACACCCGCCTGCTGATCAGAAGGTTGGCGGTTCAGGTCCTGATTGAGTTGGACTTTTTTTTTAAAAAATGACTTTGGCTTCCAGGTTGACCCAGTCTTCAGTGGGCACCGGGAAAAGTCCTGGGAAGTAAAGGTGGCCGGCGGGATGCTAACCACATCACCCACCAAACACTGATTGGTCTATAAAATATAGGCCTATATCTATATGCCCAATAAGCCTGGATCCTAAACTTTTACAATTCTGTCACACAACCAACAACTGGCCAGGTTTCCTCCGCAGACAGATTAGAACAATCCTCCTACAGTGTACACGCTCAAGTCTGACCTCGTGTTGCCATACTAAGGATTGGAAGTGAGTTCTCCTTCTAACTGAGAAACTTGATTCCTAACTACCTGGATTCTCTATCTATCATTTGCCATACAGAGATACTTTAGAGGGCAACAACTTGCTCTTCAAATTGTCCAATGGCAAGGAGGAAGCAACCCTCAATACTTTCTGAAAGACTTCAGACTTCTGGAACTGATCCATACTTTCCTGTTCATTGGCGTTGTCAGCCTGGGAGCCTAGGTGTGAATCCGTGTAGAACTGGGAGCCTAGGTGTGAATCCCTGTAGAACTGGGAGTTGCTTGGAGACTGCACATTGCCTTCAGAATCAGAAATGGGATCTTTAAAGTCAAATGAGGTGACACCAAGGGGTCGTTCTTGTCGACACATTAAGGAACCTTGCATTGGAATGTAGCATAAGTCTTCCTCCAAGGATGCCGATAGACAATCCTGGTTGTTAGTTTCTGAAATAACAGCAACACAATGTACATCAATTAAACTTACTGCACAATGTATATAGGTTTTTTCATAGCTAAAGTCTACCTTTTTACTCTTTGCACTGACTGTTTGTTTTACTTATATATATATAATTATATGTATCCCATTTACATACAACAGGGAGAAATGGCTGAGTGAAGAAGCAGCGGCTGGCTGAACAGTTAAGATGCTGGTTTCTCATGCAGGAGATTCAGGTTCAAATTCTCAGTAAGGTTTCTGTCAGCGGCAAAAATGAAATTGTAATTTGTACAGTCTGTGGCAACTGCATTAGTCATGCAGCTATAAATCCTCAGACTCTTTCACTCAAGAAAGAAAAATAATCGTTGTCCCCACTGCACAGTGAACTCAGACTTTTCCATGTAGGTTCCTGGCCCATTTGGGGGGAGGGAGGGAAGGAGAGAGAGGAAGGGAGAAAGGGAGGGAGAGAGGGAGGGGAGAGAGAGAGAGAGAGAGAGAGAGAGAGAGAGAGAGAGAGAGAGAGAGAGAGAGAAAGAAAGAGAGAGAGAGAGGGGGGGGGGTGTTAGGGTTAACAAGCAGGTCATTAAAAACGACTTATCAAGGGTGTTTCATTCAAAGTCAAGAAGTCACAAAACAAAAGCTTGCATACAAATCATCTAGATCTGTAAAATGGATGTGTATGCAAAACTTGTCGGTGTCTGTGGCTAAGGCATTGCGCATGCACTTTGTAATACCAGGGTCGATCCCAGCTGCAGGCCTTGCAAACTACTGGTCGTAAATTTGCCCAGGAAAACCACAAGAGCCAATGCTGGGGTTGGTTCTGCAACGTCCTGTAAAGGATAGGCAACTAACAACATGCAAAACTCAAGTTCTGGAAGAAGACCAAAGTGCAGAAGTGGAAGAACAACTAGAACTTCCCACCAGAGTTAACAAGAACAATTTAGTCACAGGCAAGCACACTAACAATTATGGCACGATTCTGTTCAGTCATGCCTCATATACTGGCTACACAGCTTAACATACACAGCCCTAAAGACTAAGGACAAAGGACCATGGATCACTGAAAGTTGTTAAATAATCTCTGCTAGAAGTCTGGCAAATAAATGTTATCAAAGCTAGAGACTCACCGCACTCCTTGTCTGAGCTGTGGCTCTGCTTCTGGTCTGTGAGCTTTTTCTTTCTAACTGCATCAAACCCCGCTGGAAGAAAAGAAGAACAAGCCAAGTCTTTTCCTCTGGAAATACTTAATTCAGGAGTTGAAAGACGGGCCAGCCAAGATTCTGAATCACTGCTGGGGGACTGGCTGTGAAAAGATCTGGACAAATGTGAAGAATGCAGCTGATCAACAGAAGGGGGTCTTCTGCTTGGTGTGCCGTCACAATCAGACGTCTCAGACAGGTTTCCGGATGATTGCATATTATGATGAACTCTCACCAATTTTGGCATGGCTCTTCTGCAGTTAGTGTCACTGTCAGGAATTGTTTTTGACAGACAATCTTGTTCAGTGTCAGTTGGCATGAGAACTTCTGGTGTGTCTAAACGACTGCATAAATCTGCTGCAGGCTTGTAGAACTCTTTTCTGTCACATTCTATCTGACTCTCAGATCTAAGGTGGCTTTCTGATATCTGTAAAGAAGGCAAACTGAAATCCTGGTGATTCCTGCAGACAATTTCCTTTTGTGTGTGTGAGTTCTTATCTCTCAGCCTATCTGGGTCAAGCTTCCTACTGCCATTGCTGAAATAGCTGTCATGTGTAAAACCCAGATCAGCCAGGGAATGGTCTCTGTCACTTCTATGGTCCACAGTCATGTTAGCATTCCCCTCATATCCATTCCTGACCATGTTCTTTTCTTGAAGTTTCCAATCTCTTGTATCTGAAAAGAAATTGTTTGACATATCTGTTAAATTCTTGAAACACCACAACTACTTTTTTTTCTTCAAAGTAGGGTAACTGGGGAACACCACCCCTCCCCCATTTCTGCCTGCTTCTGAAAGAAATTATCTGTTATTCTTAATCTAATTTGGGCTCTGTGGCTAAGTCGATGCGAACACTTAGGTCCCAGCTGAGGTCCATGCGCCTTGCGCTGGTTTCGACTGTGGTATAAAGAAAGCCGACCGTCCAGAAAGCAATGACAAACTACTGGACATAGGTTTGCCTAGAAAAAGCCAGAGGCTGTTGGGGTTGGTTCTGCAAATGTCCCAGTGCTGCCCACAAGCGACCCCCACCCCCTCAGTGCTGCCCACAAGCGACCCCCCACCCCAGTGCTGCCCACAAATGACCCCCCAGTGCTGCCCACAAGTGACCCTAAGTGCTTCCAAGAAGTGACCCCCAGTGCTGCTCACAAGTGATCCCCAGTGCTGCCCACAAGTGACCCAAGTGTTGCTCACAAGTGACCCCCAGTGCTGCCCACAAGTGACCCCAAGTGCTGCCCACAAGTGACCCCAAGTGCTGCCAGACTGCTAATTTCTACAAATCCCACATGCTAAAATTTCTCTACTTTTTTTTTTTAACTGTCCTTAGCCACAATGATTCAGTGTCACGGGGAAAAAGCAGTGCCTGGGGTTTCTTGGCAAAAGCTGATGGTTGATGTTTGGAGTTAGCACAGCATATGATACCACATCGTCCAGCTTAAAAATGGAAGTGGGGGCTGTCACTGCAACTTTCCACTGGCTACAGAACACGATACAAACACATCATGACTGTAACTGACTCAAAATGCCTGCTGAAGAAGGGTGAAGATCATTGTCTAGATATTTTTTCTGAGGTATGCCGGTGTATTGGGAAATGAATAGGGGGACAGGCTGGTTGACTTTGCACAACCTGGTGGAATATTGATGTGTGATAACGCATTAAGGATTTATGGAAGCAGTGGACAATTCTGAACAGAAAACTGATCATCACAGTCTGGTGAGAGTGATGCAGCGAAGAGTGACAAGGGGATCTGGTCGATAGGTGATGCTCAGAAGAAAGGCAAGACAGATATATTATTGGATTATACTGGCACCACTGATGTTGCAACTCTGTGCTGGCTGCTGAGGACAGGACCCAGTGCTAATGGAATGCTCTGAGTGATGTGATGTCAGCTCTGTGCTTCAACTCTACTCTCCAGTCAACTCTACTCTCCAGTCAACTCTACTCTCCAGTCAACTCTACTCTCCAGTCAACTCTACTCTCCAGTCAACTCTACTCCAACTCAACTCTCCAGTCAACTCTACTCTCCAGTCAACTCTACTCTCCAGTCAACTCTACTCTCCAGTCAACTCCACTCTGCAGTCAACTCCACTCTCCAGTCAACTCTACTCTCCAGTCAACTCTACTCTCCAGTCAACTCTACTCTCCAGTCAACTCTACTCTGCAGTCAACTCTACTCTGCAGTCAACTCCACTCTCCAGTCAACTCCACTCTCCAGTCAACTCTACTCTCCAGTCAACTCTACTCTCCAGTCAACTCTACTCTCCAGTCAACTCCACTCTGCAGTCAACTCCACTCTCCCGTCAACTCCACTCTCCAGGAATATTTAGTTCGTCCACGTCTCCTTATTCCATTTGAGAGCTGTCAAGGTGTCACAGGGCATTCTGCAAACATGTTGAAGCCATCTTTTTTCCTTGGATAATGTTTGCCAGTGATGAATATTTTGTTGTTTTTCTCAGTTTGTGATCCTCTTTAGCCAAAATATTTGCAGGATTGGCAATCATTCAGCAAAAGAAAGTCTCCAAAGTTTGACACAATAGGGTTCAGGATTTATGCCCCAGTGGCAGATAAAAAAAAAAAAAAAAAAAAAGACAATGCAAGTAAACCATTCTGATTCAAATAAAACTTACCCGCTGCTTCTGTAGGCTTTGGTCTCACTGAATTAAAACCTAAAAAAGCCCGCTCTGGTACCGGCAAATCTTTTCCCATGGCATCTTTGGAATCATTCTGACCCTTACTGTCACCACAGGTCAACTTTACGAGTTCTGGAATCTTCCAGAAAATTGGAGGCAAAAGGTATCCATGTTTCTAAAATTAGAATAAAAAAACAGAACTTAAATAAAATGACCACACACTAAACAATTTAAAGTTGTCATTATGCTGCAACTGAGCTCAGGGTTTAACAAAACCTTTTATCACAATTACCAAGTTTTCAGTGGTGGGCGGTTAAAAAAAGATCATTAAATTGAATCTGTAACTTCCAGAGGACAAGAAAAAAACCCTGACCACACAGCTCGTACACTTGTATTTCATAGAGAAAACTTGCCCAGATCTAGGCTGCAGCTTGGAGTGCCCACAGGGAAATATGAATGAGGCAGTCCCTCAAGAAACAGATGAAAACAGACCAAAAACACACGCAGGAGAGAATTTGAGAGTGTGGTGAGCAAGACAGAGAGAACATAGGGACAGCTGCACGTGTTTAACAAACAAATGAAAACAGTGTGAGTTAGCTGAGAAACTAATGCTTTACTGTGGGATAAAGGGTAGATGAGGAAAATTCCAGAAATGATTTTGTTTCTTCACATTCACCGGCTGTAAAGTTCTGGTTGTCTGTCCACTTCTGGACTTCAGTCCTGTTCTAAAACCTGAGTGCCGTGTGCACATTCATTTTACAGAACTAACTAATTTTAATGCAGACTGCTGGTTCATCGCCCCTCAGGCAGATATACTCCAACTGTGAAGGAAGCTCCCAATCAGTCGACTCTCAAGATGTTTTTGGGTAGCCATGGGTGTATTCTTGTTTTTCCCAAAGTGGGAGCCCCGGAACCCACACAGGGACAAGAAATTAGATCTCCTGCAGATTTTTGTAACCTTTTACAAGACCTAGAAAATTTGGTGACAACTGGTAAAAGTGAAGAGAAAAGAGCAGAGGGAAGATAGATAAATACTGGATCTGCTTAACTATATAGGATCATCACTACATAAACACAGACCTGATCCAAGACTATTAGCATCAGGTCAGGTGATGAACTATGGCCACCTAGGCAATTCAACATAGTACATGATGATGATGGTGCTGTGTTCTTCATAAAACATCCCACAGGAATATGGCATGGTAATTGACAGTTACTTGTTTTATGTAATGGCCAACCAAATTCCTACCTGGCAAGACTCGACCTCCCCGTCCATGTTTCTCACATGACTCATGTAGATCTGCACCCCCATCCTGAACTCATACAGCATCTTGTTGAGCAGTACCTGGTGCAGTTTGCCAAGGTAGCTGACATTTCTCCGTGCCGCAGATAGCAGCTGCTGCGGCAAGGGTCTCTGAAGCCAAGGAGACTGGCGAGGTCTCTGCAAACATAAGATTCCTATCTTAAATAAAGTGCAATTAGGGCAGGTAGCATTCTGTGGCTTAGTGAATGCATTTGACAGATTATGATCTCGACACACTAGGGTCTGATTTCTGTGGCAGACAGTTTTTTATATTTTAAACTGTTTTTATGGCATTCTGATCGGGATAAGAGATGTGCACTGTGGAAGAAAGGGTGTTTATAAACAAGTCTACAAAGGGTGCTAATAAACATGTCTACAAAGGGTGCTAATAAACATGTCTACAAAGGGTGTTTATAAACATGTCTACAAAGGTGTTTCTAAACATGTCGTGTCTACAAAGGTGTTTATAAACATGTCTACAAAAGGTGTTTATAAACATGTCTACAAAGGGTGCTAATAAACATGTCTACAAAGGGTGTTTATAAACATGTCTACAAAGGGTGCTCATAAACATGTCTACAAAGGGCATTGATGAACATCTACAAAGGGCGTTTATAAACACGTCTACAAAGGGTGCTCATAAACATGTCGACAAAGGGTGTTTATAAACATGTCTACAAAGGGTGCTCATAAACATGTCTACAAAGGGTGTTTATAAACAAGTCTACAAAGGGCGTTTATAAACATGTCTACAAAGGGAGCTAATAAACATGTCTACAAAGGGTGCTAATAAACATGTCGACAAAGGGTGCTAATAAACATGTCTACAAAGGGCATTGATAAACGTCTACAAAGGGCACCACTAAACAACTATCTATCTTGGAAGTCTGCACTACTGTGGTTATGTACATCTGAAATGCATGCACATTCGGTTAAAGTGCAGTACTATTATGTTTATGGTTACAGCATGATTTAGCCAGAAATATATATATTTACATTCCTGCCTTGTAATCCAGGGTCTTCTTCTTCTTCTTCGATCCTTCTGTCAGAAAACTTATATCAGGAGGCCGGTAGCCTTTATGAAAGCTATCGTGCAATCCATATCCTCTAGTGTACCATACAGTTTTCTTGAACTCTCCTCTAGCTATAACTAAGATGATAATAAAGAGATAATTACCTCTTGAATACCATCTTTGACTTTACAAAAAGTGACATCCTGTCGCTGCAACTTGAGATGTTTGACCAGGCAGGATGGCAGGCTCTCTACATACCGTGGCCAGTCTCCGTTGTGTAAGATCCTATAGACATAGGCGTTGGCTACCTGCAGAAATAGAGGACACGGTACAAACTCAACACAACCATGTAAACAGGCAGTAACCATGACTATCTACTTGAGAGGCAGTTGTTAGTTCAACTCTTTTGGTTTTAGGTGAGTTCACATTTAACAAATGAACGTTAGAATTTGCAGAAAAAAATTAGATCACTATGAAACTAATATATGACCAAACTGACATCGTCACTCGAGAATGGACTGATCCATTAAATCTTCTGCTGCCCTTGATAATTTGTATAACCTACGGGGCGAAGACTCTAGACGAGTTCAAGGTGGGCCATCCATGCTGTCCTCTCCCATCTCATGCAGCTCCGTCTTGACTTCTCTGTGTTATCGACCCCAGTCTCTAAAGATCTTCTCCGCCAGTTTCAGGACTGCCTTTCAGCTCTTTATACCTGAGTTAATGAAATAATCCATTCAGCAGTTCCTAGCCACAGGTGAAATTGTAGAGTTCATAAACAACACGTTTGAAAACGGCTGCCCCAGAATATTATCCACTTTGGCAGGTATCAGAGAGATGGGAGGCAGACTAAAGAATATTGTCCACTTTGGCAGGTATAAGAGAGATGGAAGGCAGACTAAAGAATATTGTCCACTTTGGCAGGTATCAGAGAGATGGGAAGCAGACTAAAGAATATTGTCCACTTTGGCAGGTATCAGAGAGATGCGAAGCAGACTAAAGAATATTTTCCACTTTGGCAGGTATCAGAGAGATGCGAAGCAGACTAAAGAATATTTTCCACTTTGGCAGGTATCAGAGAGATGCGAGGCAGACTAAAGAATATTTTCCACTTTGACAGGTATCAGAGAGATGGGAGGCAGACTAAAGAATATTGTCCACTTTGGCAGGTATCAGAGGGATGCGAAGCAGACTAAACAGTGAAACCAAAATGAAGAAACACAAAAAAATATAGGAACAAAAGAAAAATCCATGAGATTAAATTAAACTGAGAAAGAAACACAAACTCAGACAAATGAGGCGAAAAACAGAGACATTAAAGGCTAAACAAATGAGATGATGTACAAAAATCAAGGAGATGAAAACTAAAATGAGACACAAATACCGACTTGTGGAGATCAGAAAAATGAAAGACAACATGAGACATTAGATCCCAATTGGAAGCTAGTTTAACATTACATAACCCTTGATCTGTTGGTTGGTGGAGGTGTACTGATGAAAGCACTAGTACACCAAACCACTGCTCTCTGTCTTCGGCTTGTTAAACATGAGATATAAGGAAGCTAGTTTAACATTACATAACCCTTGATCTGTTGGTTGTGGAGGTGTACTGATGAAAGCACTAGTACACCAAACCACTGCTCTCTGTCTTCGGCTTGTTAAACATGAGATATAAGACCCCAAGCTAGTTTAACATTACATAACCCTTGATCTGTTGGTTGTGGAAGTGTACTGATGAAAGCACTAGTACACCAAACCACCGCTCTCTGTCTTCAGCTTGTTAAACATGAGATATAAGACCCCAAGCTAGTTTAACATTACATAACCCTTGATCTGTTGGTTGTGGAGGTGTATTGATGAAAGCACTAGTACACCAAACCACCGCTCTCTGTCTTCAGCTTGTTCAACAAGTCTATAATAATTTAATCCTATCATTTTTGTGATGCCATTCCAGCTTCTTTGTCCCCTCCCCCACAATGTTCCTTCAAGTATCACCTTTGCAATCATATGTCTCACCTTGTGCCCATACCAAACTAGCTAGTGATGATTCACTACTGCCAAAAGAAGCACCTAGTTTACCTGAGTGTCAAAGATATTGGCTGCACGAATATGGAACTGTTCATGCAACATGTCAGATATCCATCGGCAGTCATGGATAACCTGAAAAGAATTTTTTTTTTTTAATCTGTTAAAATAGCCCATAAAAAAATTGAAAAGTCATTCACTGTAGGAGCAAAAGTGTTGATGCACAAGAAGTTATACACTCTTGAAGAAAGGTGTCTTCATTAGCCAGGTCACCCACGTCCATGGGATACAGAATTTAGATCTAACCACTGGAGTAGCATCATGGGTTTCAGACATGTCCACTCAACAAGCCCCTACAGCGAGGTGCTATTGTCATATAGATATGTCCAGTTCAGATTCAAGCTTACAAAATGGGACTAGTTATCAATCAAGATAAGACAAAATACATGATAACTAGACAGGGAAAGGATATAAATTCGGGCCACATATATGTCGATTATATGAAAATCAAATAAATGGAAACATAAATACTTAGGTGCAAACTTCAACTGCTCCAACATGTCGGGAAAAGAAATAAAATCTGAAAATATAGTATACTATGCCTTTAAACACCTGCTAAAGTTAAAGTCTCTATCTTGTGACACGATCAATATATATATATATATATTAAAAATATATATATATAAAACCTTGATAATTCCAGTCTTTTTATATGGCATGAAACTTGGAGCACAACTAAACGAGATGAAGCCTTATTAAACATTTTCAAAAACAGTCTTACGACGAATCTCTGAACTCATCAAAGGTGCAAAACAGTTGGGAATGGAGCAGGAGCTTACAGCCGGAGAACAAAGAAGAAGATATGTTCTGTACCGGGTACTAGCTGACCTTGCTACACTAGATGAAGGTATAGAAATTGGGGGGGGGAGAAGAGGGGGAGACGGGGAAAGATAACTGACCCTGCACCACCCATAGCCCACTCCTCAAAGCAAAACCCACTCCTTAAAGCAAACAATTCGAATGTGGACTGCATATCACTTGTCGATCACAGATTACGGACACACATTTGAAAGAGCGGTAGTCAACAATCTTGCCCGCGCAGTTTAAAAGGTGTAGCTGCAAAAGGCCAGATTGTCAAAATTCTCCTTTCACCATTTTCAGGTTATTGGGCAACGTTCAAGGAATTAGGCAAGTTTTCATAAAAATTCATAAAAGTTTTTTTCAAAGCCTGGAGAGGGATTTTGCAGTTCCGGTGTGTTTCCAGGGCCGTGATTAACCCTGTAACTTATTCCTTTCGCCAATGAAGCAAAGGTCCTCAGATTACTTAGCCTGCCCAAGCTGTCCTATCTTTTGACACCCTCTTCACCGTTTATAACACCATACTGTATCAAAGTGTACTATAACTGACACTGCAGAAGTGCAGTGACTAGTGCACCCGCCTACTATAGCCAGGGTTCAATCCTCAGCACAGGCTGGATTATCTGTCTCCAAAATCTCCAGGTCTGGGGTTGGCTCAGCTTCATACTAACAGGCACCTGATATAACACAGACCATGAGGGAAGGAACTGACCACCTAACCTCACACACCATGACCTAGAATATGTGACAGCCTACTAACACTTTAGCCAAGAGATTAATCGGTGCAAGTCAAACTTTACGGGTCGCTGAGTGAATTACAAAAGACAGTAAGTTCATACTAGAGACAACATTGCAGATATAGAAAATCTATTTCAAGCCAAACCAAAGAAGAAAAAGACTAACACTTTACTCACCAACTCGTGTATCTGCTACTGGACTATCTTTACCTGTTAACAACAGTCTGCCTCTTACCTTGACAATATTGCTGGATTCAAACACAGCCTGCAGGCCCTCAGCGAAAGCCTCTGTCCCCAACTCCAATATGTCGAAGGCAATGACGTCAGTCTCTGTACTGATCTGTTAAGTAAAGCACAGCTGTACAAACAACTTCAGGTAAACCTGCATGGGTTTTGGGGCCCCATTATAGACCCACTGCTTCCTAACAAGCACGTCATAAGCGTAGACTAACTGGGGGCTTCCTTCGAAGCTGGAGTGCATCTACATGAGAGGCAAGGAACAGTCACATTTAGGTAAGCCAGATCTGTCAAATGGATGTGCACCCAACACTCAAGTTCTGGGACAGGACTCAAGTCCAGAAGTGCAGGAAGAGAAAACTCTGCCAGAGTTTACAGCCAGTGAACTCACAGAAAACAAGGCTCAGGCTACACTTCTGTTACTGGCATGCCACAGTTGCTTTAGAGTTACATATACAAGAAAACTATGTTAGCTTATCAACAACATCAGGACAGCTTACAGAAAACACACAGCAACAACATGTACAGAACAGCTTACAGAAAACACACAGCAACAACATCTACATAACAGCTTACAGAAAACAGATAACAAAAAAACAACCATTTACAATGCCTGATGCAACAAAGTCAACCTTCTTAACCCCAACTTTACCAGAAAACACAGCAACAACATCAAGATAAACACAAAAACAATTAAAACAGCTGTGTTTTTTTTTTACTTCCTTTGGATCTGACATGTTAAGTCAAAGTCAATGTTTCATCAATCTATCTGACAAATGTATATTTGCCAATGCACAATTGAGCAGAGTGTTCTGATGTGAGTAATGTATATCTGTTACTGTCTATATCAACATATATAATATTCATGTAAAAATATTTCCACTATAATTTATTCATAGGAAACATGGTATAGGAAGTGTGGTATAGAATTAGCTAGTTTTCTTGCCTGGTGGCTCGGTAGTAATATGTTCTATTCCCCATCTGGATAGATCTTCAAAACTGACCTACATACCCAACCTGACCCAGCTTAAAATGGGTCCCAGGAAATGACATGAGCCATGACATGTGAGAAATGACACAAGTATAAGAATACAAGACTAATGTTATAAACTCAGTGTGCCATAAGAGCGAAAACAAAAGTTGATAACTTCATTACCACACACCTGTGACACACTGAAAATGGCAGGTACATAAACCAAATTTTATTCATCTGGTTGTTTTAGCATTCACCGGCTGTAAACCCCAGCACAAAGTTCTGGTTGTTTGTCCACTTCTGGACTTTCGTCTTGTTCCAGTCATTGAGCATTGTGCACATTGATTTTACAGATTTGGCTTATTTGTTGGTCCCTGGTCTCTCAGGCAGACACACTGTGACTCTGAAGGAAATATGAGACATGCTTGTAACGGAAGCAGTGGGTCTATTCCCCCCCCCCAAGGTACCAAGTTTCCCAAATCTGAATAGGAAAAAAACAGGAGAAATTCTTCCTCTGGTGATCACTGCCTATTACAGATGACACGTCAGGTAAAACATGTCATCTGTCACTCAAATGTCACTTTCCTCATAAATACAAACAGATCAATGTTTTAAATGCTACTACAGTCCAACCTGAACAACTGACAGAACGCCATTTCTCCCAATGTCGACTCCCTCAAATGTCACTCCAATAGCCTCTTGCCCCATGATATAGTCAATCTATAAAACAGAGACAAATACAATAATACAAAATATCAATAATAATGTGGAGAATATTCAGATTATTTGTTTTTTCTCTCTTCGGCTCATTTTACACTGGAGAATGTACCCTAGTGTTTTCAGTTGATTTGTTCTCAAGTCCACTATGAAGTTTAGATAACTGTCTGTCAATACATTAGGGTCCTTAGCACGGGGAGAAATAAATGTTGAAATTGTTTAAAATGTCCCCCCTCTGAATTTTTTTCTTCAGTTCGCAGGTGACAACTTAAGTTCACCACCTCCGACACAAGATCACCTGTATTTTTTCTTGTTCTTTTTCTGGTGTGTCTAATGAAATAACTGGATCTTGGTGGGTACTTGCATAAAAATGTGCGGTCAACTGTTCTTTTCTGTCCATCCTTTTGGCCAGATGTAGCATTCAGGTATGCCAGAAAAGCTAATATCATATTGTGGGCAAACTGACAGTTCATAAAGAAAAACAGATCAAGTGCCAGGAATATATGACTGCAAGCATTTTAAAATGTAAAATGTGCGTGCTAATCTTCTTCTTCTTTCGTTCGCATGAAATAAATTGTCTATATCTGCAAAGCCGTCTCTTGTATGAATTTCACTGTCTTTTGTAATTCACTAAGCGGCCCGTAAAGTTTGACTTCCACAAGTGTCTCTTTTGGCCAAATGTTTTGCCTGAAAGCGTTGAATATGGGACAGTCTTGAAGGATGTGATCTGTTGTTTCAGGTGCCAGTCCACAAGTACACATGGCCGATTGGCCAATCTTAAATTTGTTGTACATGTGGGAGCGAAGTCTATTGTGCCCTGTTCTAAGGCCAAGGATAATAACTTGCTCTGGTCTGTCCTCAATATGGTAATCATCTTGTGCCAGTTTCGGTGGCATTCTGATTGATTTGATCATTCTCTTCTTCTGTTGATAAGAGACTGGTATGTCAGGTTGTTCTTCAGTTGCACCTTCCTTAGCTAGTTTATCAGCTTTTTCGTTTCCGGGAACTCCACAGTGGGAAGGTATCCACTGCATTACTAATTTACAGCGTTTGCCTAGTTCGGATAATAGTGTCCGTATGCTTGGTAATTTTCCAGACTGGAGTGACTGAAGTACTGCTTTTGCATCTGTCAGGAATACCACAGGTTGTGAAAAATACCCTGTATTTAGTAGTTTCTCTACCGCTATCTTGATGGCTTGAACTTCTGCATCATAGTTGTGACAGTGCTTTCCCGTTGGTAATTTGGCTGTATCCCTGGTATTATTAGGATACTCAATGTACACTCCCGCACCTCCGTTTCTGACTGCGCTTTCTGCTGACCCATCTGTGTAAACACGGACCAAAGGTTCTGCGGGTATTCATCATCAAGTAAACTGAGGGTGGCTGTTTTGCGCTGCACACTGTTTTGTTCTTCCTTGTCAAATACCCCTTTCACTTCAGTCTTGATGTGTATTGGAAACTTATACTCCTCTCTCCAGGGGTCCGTTCTGGGACAGCATTTAAGGATCTATCAGTTGCAGGTAAATCAGTGGTTTGTCTGCCGAGCCGTTTGGCCTGGTGGATAAAACTACTTCTCTTTAGTCGTCCCAAAGCTAAATTTTTGAATCTTTCATTCATAGGGTGACTGGGCATACTAAGAAACTTTTCTGCTTGTAAAAGCATCTTGGTGTCTCTGCGTTCACTTAGTGCTTGGGTCATCCCCATTTTCTCCATCACAGCTATAGGTGTTGATTTCATACTGCCTGTGGTAACTCTGAGTGCTTGATTTTGCACTTTGTCTAATTCTTGCAATGTGGTTTTTGATGCCGAACTCCATGCTGTTGATTCGTATTCAAGATGTGGTAGAACACTTTGTTGGTAAACTTTTCTAAGTATTTTCCCGCTAGCACCCCATGTGGTTCCACTTAGTTTTCTCAGAATGGCTACCCTCCTTCTGGCTTTTGTTGCTGCCTTGTTGATGTGTTTTCTCCATGTTAATCTATCATCAAACGTTACGCCGAGGTATGTGGGAATGTAAGCATTAAATTTTACAAAGTAATAAATGATAATAGCAGACAGACACAACACACTAAAGAAGACACTTACAGCCTCGTAAAACTTGTCCCCTAGTCTGTAAATCAATGTGTAGTAATCTGTTTCATAATATTCATCGTTGACATTCAACAATGAACTGTCAGCATTTGCATCAGGCAATTCACTTTCATCATTTCCATCCATACATCTGTTGTCTTCATTTCCATGCACCCATCTGTTGTCACCGTTTTCAGTACCTGTAGAAATAAGAACAGAAAACTCTGAATGGCACAAGAATCATCAAGAAACAAAACGCTTATAAGATGCATGGCGTCACAGAATTCCTTGATAGTAAGCTTCGACACATTCGATTGTATGAACGTATTAAACTTCATTTTTTAATAGTCACAAATTGGGCATGCAGGCCTGTATTACATTTTGCCCATCTATTCACTCATCTTCACATAACTGTATTTTTTTCATGGCATGCTCATACAACAAAATACATACTATGAGTGTAAAGTTTTAAAAAAAAAATGCAAAAGCAGTAGCTCACAAATAGGTATGAAAGGGGGCTGCGTTAGCGCAGTCGATAAGAGGCTTGCTTTCAAATCCAGCTGTGACTCGCCGCAGTCCACGGTCTGTGTTCGAAACCAGGCAGCTCCTGGGGTTCACCCAGCCTCTAGAAAATGGGTACCAGAGTTGACACTCTGGGGTAAATGGAGGAACATCGCAGTAGCTACAGAGTTACATGCGAACGGCGACACAGACAGACAATTCTTATCAGCTGTCCGTACTGGTGGCAGAGCACTTATGGTTAACAACCGTGTGCAATGACTCTGGTTCACATCTTCAGACTTGACCTTTACCTTTAGGTCTGAAATTTCACGGGGGATTGACCAGATAATAAAGATAAGCCAGGAGATAATGGCAGGTGAGCATGGACTGTGTTGGGAGTGAAGCTCTCTAAGGGACTTGCATAATGTTGATGAACATAATTAGAATATCCTCGCACTGGAACCCACAAAGAAAAATAAACAGAGGAATATCAAAATCACATGGAGAAGAGAATTAGAAATGAATCACACATGGTGGAGAAACCAGAAGCTGCTGGAGAGGACAAAAGTTTAAATGTCTTGATATGAACTCAATGACATCTCATGCTCCAGTATGGGGTAAAGGGTGGACGATGTTTTTATCGGTGGCATGAAACGTCTAGACATGAACTCAATGACATCTCATGCTCCAGTATGGGGTAAAGGGTGGACGATGTTTCTAAGAGAAAGTCAAGGACCTTTTTCATACCTAGATATATGGAGTATTTAAAGGTCCCTTTTCCATGCCTTTAGGCATACTGAGAATATAGGGCCTTTATTTTTACAGATCAATCAGCACTTAGTGTGTGATGCAGTCAGCATCCCGCCAGCCACCTTTACTTCCCAGGACTGCACCTGGTACCTACTCAAGGCTGGGTCGACCTGGGAGTCAAGATCATTTCTGAAACAAAAAAGTCCAGCTCCATCAATATGCGAACCCACGATCTTCCAGCAGGCATCTAGCCGCCAATGCCATGTAACTCATATTGATTATATGATTATATTGAAATATGAATATTTGTATACATCAGTATGCCCCTTGCCTTCCCAGAACTCTTGCTAGAATCCAACTGTGACTGGGTTGACTAAAGAGCTCAATGTGAAACACCCTCACATCAGAGGGCAATCGACCACATGACCAAACATGTTAGTCACTAGACAACTGCTACCGCCAACGGTCACTGTACTCACCTTGAATATTTGCCCCGAAAGAGTCATCTGCGTTGATGGTTTCTGCTTTCATCACACAGTGGTGGACGGACATCTCTGGATCCTTCGGCAGATAGGTATTCCTGGAAATAGTTTCAACTGGTATATAGTCCACAAAGATAGAAAGAAAATATCACTTTAGTAAGTAAATCATTCACAACTACATTAGTTATACTGGGGACATGAATACCAGAAGTGACATTACCTAATGTCATAATGGAAGGTGATTCCCCTTCAAAACTAGGTATGGTGTGTTTTTTTTAACCAAAAGGTAACATTTCTATATAATATTTTATTTATGTAGGCCGACAGTATATTTACACATCAGGACAAGTAAATTTGTGATATAATGCTAAAGCTATAAAAAATACAGTGGTTAATGTGTAGTTAATATGTATTAGCAATGATTTTCAAGATCGATTTTACCCAATTTTTTGGCTGTTGAAGAATAGATAGGCAAAACTAGGAACATGGTACGGATTTCACTATTTAAAGTTAATTCCTACAGGAAAACCTTGTTTGATATTCGTCCTTTACCCAGGAAAAGATTACCGATGAATACTGGAGTTGCACTGTATTCAAGCATCTGTCCAACATGTACCATCACTTCTAGCATCTGTCCAACATGTACCATCACTTCTAGCATCTGTCCAACAAGTACCATCACTTCTAGCATCTGTCCAACATGTACCATCACTTCTAGCATCTGTCCAACATGTACCATCACTTCTAGCATCTGTCCAACATGTACCATCACTTCTAGCATCTGTCCAACATGTACCATCACTTCTAGCATCTGTCCAACATGTACCATCACTTCTAGCATCTGTCCAACATGTACCATCACTTCTAGCATCAGTCCAACATGTACCATCACTTCTAGCATCTGTCCAACATGTACCATCACTTCTAGTATCTGTCCAATACGTAACATCACTTCTAGCATCTGTCCAACATGTACCATCACTTCTAGCATCTTTCCACTTCCTGTGCTGATCATGGCTCTGGCATGATTTTCTCACCGGCATACAGGCATATACAACATCAGCTTTCATATACACAAATCCCCTGTGTGGGTTCCGGGGCCCCATTGTGGGGAAAACAAGAATAGACCCACTGCCTCCCCAAAAGCATGTTGTAAGAGTCAACTAAATGGGGAGCTTCCTTTGAAGACGGAGTGTGTCTGCCAGGGAGGCAAGGAACCAACAGTCTGTATTCAAGAGAATGAGATCTGTAAAACTGATGCACACGCAACACTCAGGTTCTGGAGCAGGACTGCAGTTCAGTAGTAGACGAGCAACCAGAACCTTCCGCCAGAGTTTACAGCTGGTGAACGCGAAGAAGAAGATATACACAAATAAGCATGATTATATTTAAATGCTGATGCTCCGACAGAAGGCTTGGTTCATTTTATGACATTTTCCACAGTGATTATCGAGTCTTGTTACCTTTTATTGCTGTCAGGAAGTGATGACCTCTTACTGCTTGATTGAGGGGTCTCTTTTATGACTTGCACTGGAAAAAAATATCACATGAACATTTACAGAAATGAATGTTCACACTGTGGATCACAGACTATAATTAGGGAAAGAATGGTGTAACATTTCAGCTGACACATAACAGTCAAAATGATCATCATGTGGCAACAAGTACCATCATCTGCTAGCATTTGTCATGCTATCTAAAGTACCATCACTTCTAGCATCTGATTCAAACAAGTACCATCACTTCTAGCACCCTGTTCAACCAACAAAGACCATCACTTTCTAGCATCTTTGTACCAACATGTAGTCACCTACAATTTTGTGGGCATGGATGATGAACAAGTACAGATCCATTTACATGGTCATCACAAGCACAAGGCGAGCACATACCATCACTTCTAAGAGTGCAACTGGGAGTAAACAAGTACCATCACCATCTTTGTCCAGAGTGCAAGACCATAAAGACTTCTAGCCCATCTGTCCAACAGTACAATCACTTCTAGCAGATGTCACATCCCTATCTTTGCTAAGAGTCAAAGCTCTGGGAGTAAAGATCGTTTCTCCCCATCTTACAGGCAGAGTGCAAGATCGGGAGTAAAAGATCGTCACAATAAGCATGATTTATTTAGAATGCAAGAATGCTCCGACAGATCGTCACTTATCCCATCTTGTTAAGAGTGCAAGAACTCCACAGTAAAGATCGTCACATCCCCATGTTACCTTTTAGTGCAAGAACTGTCAGGAAAGATGTCACATCCCCATCTGTTAAGATTGAACTGGGAGTAAAGATCGTCACATCCCCATTTTGTTAACTTGCACTGGAAAAAGATCGTCACATCCCCATCTTTGTTAAGAGTGCAAGAACTGGGAGTAAAGATCGTCACATCCCCATCTTTGTTAAGAGTGCAAGAGTAAAGATCACACTCACATCCCCATAATTAGAGGCAAAGAACTGGTGTAAACATTTCACATGACACATAACAGTGCAAAAAGTGATCACATCATGTAAGAGGCAGACTGGATAAAGATGCACATGCTCACTTGTAAGAGTGCTAGAACTAAGATTTAAGATACCATCATGAGTTCTTTTCAAAGACTGCAATCTGGGATAAAGTGGGTCACATCCCCATCTTTGTTAAACCTCCAAGAACTGTAATTAGATCGGCACATCTTTGTTAGAGTGCAAGACCAGCCAGGAGTCACCTACATCCCCTCTTTGGGTATGAGTGCAAGAATGGGAGTAAAGTAGTCAGATCCCCATTTACAAGGTGCATCACAAGCAAAGGCGTCACATCCCCATCTTTGTTAAGAGTGCAAGAACTGGGAGTAAAGATCGTCACATCCCCATCTTTGCTAAGAGTGCAAGAACTGGGAGTAAAGAGCATCACAGTCAGGCATGTGAAGCACACTGGACGCACGAGAAGTCTTGTCAATCCACACAGGACTGGGACTATCAACCATGGGACACTGATGTATATGTTGAAGAAGAAATCTAAGCATCTATGGAAATGTCTGGAGAGCTGTGAAGATAACCCAAATTAAAACTCAAAGGCAGGCTGCAGTTGCACACAAAAAGGAGACAGGTCACTAATACCACCCCTACCCTGCAAGATGTTAATGCTCATGCAATTAAGTTATGTTTGTTGTTTGTGTGTGTGTTGTATTTTAAATGAAGAAACATTCCTAATCATGTGGCTGGTCCTTTACATTTACAGAACATGGTACCCAACATAGCTTGCAGGAAAGCCTCTTGCCTCTATTCCCCTGTCTAATGTATTTTTATGTCCAAAGTGCCATCAATGACCTGTGCCCACTTCTGCACTGGTAAATCACAGACTATTCTTCCATAAACCGTATTTTCCATCAGCGTGGCACTCAAGAGATCAACAATATGTTGTCATCCATCTCCCAGTGAAGCATAGGCCCACAGCCAGCTCATGCTAAGCTCTTTGTTGACTTGTTCACAACTGGACCCAGCAGCGTAAACATAAGAAACATGCATAAAGATGGGATCAGGTGCTAATTAAGATCACACTGAAATTAACAATGACTTGATGACTAGTTAGACTTTTCACAACATGCCAGATAGGTTCACTACTCTATTTGTTTCTTCTGTTACAAGCCCTGTAGCACATAGGCTAATTATATTTTACACTAGAGGAAATACTCACATTTAGTCATGTCTGTTAAGTAGAAATTCTGGAGAAAACTCACATTTAGTCATGTCTGTTAAGTAGAAATTCTGGAGGAAACTCACATTTAGTCATGTGTGATAAGTAGAAATTCTGGAGGGAACTCACATTTAGTCATGTGTGATAAGTAGAAATTCTGGAGGAAAAACTCACATTTAGTCATGTCTGAGAAGTAGAAATTCTGGAGGAAATACTCACATTTAGTCATGTCTGAGAAGTAGAAATTCTGGAGTCCACATAACCTTGAACCTGAAGCAGTTACTGTTGAATGAATAAACAGAAAGTTAGGCAGTTTGGGCAGTTAGTTGCTTGGCAGACCATTCTCACGGCACATCAACCAATTCTGTGTTCACAAGTGCTTACACCCCATTCTCACGGCACATCAACCAATTCTGTGTTCACAAGTGCTTACACCCCATTCTCACGGCACATCAACCAATTCTGTGTTCACAAGTGCTTACACCCCATTCTCACGGCACATCAACCAATTCTGTGTTCACAAGTGCTTACACCCCATTCTCACAGCACATCAACCAATTCTTAGTTCACAGCTTACACACCCCATTGGGCACATCAACCAATTCTGTGTTCACAAGTGCTTACACCCCATTCTCACGGCACATCAACCAATTCTGTGTTCACAAGTGATTACACCCCATTCTCACGGCACATCAACCAATTCTGTGTTCACAAGTGATACACCCCATTCTCACAGCACATCAACCAATTCTCACAAGTGTTACACCCCAACAGTCAACCAATTCTGTGTTCACAGTGCTTACACCCCATTCTCACAGCACATCAACCAATTCTGTGTTCACAAGTGCTTACACCCCATTCTCACAGCACATCAACCAATTCTGTGTTCACAAGTGCTTACACCCCATTCTCACAGCACATCAACCAATTCTGTGTTCACAAGTGATTACACCCCATTCTCACGGCACATCAACCAATTCTGTGTTCACAAGTGATTACACCCCATTCTCACGGCACATCAACCAATTCTGTGTTCACAAGTTAAAAAATAATTCTGTGTTCACAAGTGCTTACACCCCATTCTCACGGCACATCAACCAATTCTGTGTTCACAAGTGCTTACACCCCATACTCACGATATATCTCCTCAGCCTGTGTGCTATGAGGTCAAAGAGTAAACCAAAGCTACTGGTGTTAAAAATAATTGAATGAATTGAAATACAATGAGCTCCTCAATGAAGTCTCAGATTTAGGTCATGCAAAGGAGATTGAAGTACTTGACTTACGGACTGAATGGTAGAATTGAATACGCAGTAATATGTGAACCAGCTAAACTTTGAAAAGGAACTGAGTATGTTTACTAGCTTTTCATTCACTTTAAAAAATTCAAATGTGTTATAGTTTGTTAAGTTTAACCTGAATTTTGAGGATTAAAAATGTGACACAAAATTTCAGCACTTTAGCAAAGATTTGGGCTATCCTCCGACTAACGGTCGGTAAAGATGGCGGCCACAAAATATCCTTTCGAGCCACAGTCACGTGACTTAATTGCACACGCTGCTGCTCGTGGGTCCTAGCCATCTAGTTTAGCCCCTTTCCAAGCCGCATGAACGGCGTGGGGGACACGGTGGCGGTAGTCGTCGGAAAGCCGCCGGAGAACCGCAAATTAAGTCATGTGACTGTGGCTCGAAAGGATATTTTGCGGCCGCCATCTTTACCGACCGTTCGTTGCAGGATAGCCGGGATTTGTTTTTACTTGTAGTCGGACATCGACATGAACAGAAACTGACTTTACTTTACTCCCCCACCCACTTCTTTAGCCTTTCCATTTTGTTCTAACTCATACGTCAAACTTTAAAAAAATGAATATAATCACCATGTGTCTGTTACATTTTAATTTCATTATTTTTATTCAAATCATAGACTAATACTTTCCGTTCTATTATAACTTAAACTCATACATATAAAATATGTCAAAATGTTTCTGTGGACACTTAATAGTTAATTAGTACTACACTGAAAACTAATAGTAATACTACTAATACCAGTAACAACAATTACATTCATTATAATTATGTTCAATTTGCAGAGGTAGGTTGTTTACAATCTTTAAAAAATTATAATAAATCTAAACAAATATAATCTTCATGTGTCTTGTTACATTTTAATTTCATTTAATTTTTTTTTTTTTTTCAACTGATCAAATGATAGACCACTCACTATTGTGACATTTGTCACTGACAAAGACTATTCTACAAGTACAATTCTTCACAATAATATTAATAAATTTAATATTAATTGTGAGAAAACACAACTCTACCTGTTATTGTATATTATATTAATTATATAACATATAACATTAAAACTAGATATGATTGGTAGACACCACTGACTATCGACTTAGTACTATCAACTTTGAACTGCCTAGGGAAGTGTCTGATACTGTTCTGAATACAATCTACATCTTGTACCTGTAGTCTGTACCCAAATAAAACGCAATAAGGTGCCAAAGAGACTATCATGACCGCAGTGTTGGCTCTCATAAAGTGGGGACTTCTAGTACTAGTGGTGCTGATATATTAACGATAGTGATTTAATGAAAAAAAACACGTTTTTATTAATTACTATTATTAGACTTGCCCCTTTTCAAGACGACTTTCCCAAGTGCTTCGTCCAAGGCATGTAGTACACCAGTAACCGTAGAGCCGCTGCCTGTATTTATGATGAGTTTACAGCCCGGGGAAAGTTGGTCAGACATTGTAGAAGTTACAACTTCAGACAGCAGGCAGGCGGGCAGACGACCGGCAGCGTTAGGGCTGCCAATGAGATTTTTGTCAAAAACCCAGCTTCGCTAAATAAAAACCCAAGCAGTACATAGACAAAGAACAAAAAGAAACAAAATAAAAAACCCAGATTGTTAAATGTAGAAAATTTATAGTTACAAAACGAAACAACTACCACTTTTATATAAGGATATATTTTAAAAAAAAAAAACAGATTTCCCTGAGGCCTCTCAGAAAAACCCAGATCTGGGGGGGGGGGGGGAGGAGAACCCAGCATTGGCAGCCCTGGGCGGCGTGAGAGCTAAAGTTGACACCGGATGTTTCCCTTCTCTCTGCTAGCGGGGCATCTTCATCAGGTGCCTCGCCGATCGGCGTAGGTTATCATTATCTCTAATCTCCACATCATATCGTCTCCAGTAGCATGATCTGGCGGGTCGAGACAGGCTCTTTACGCAGACAGTGGATTGAGTCATTGCAAAACTCTCCTGTGTGTGCAGTACCTTTCAGTTTGTTTTTGGTTATGCAGGTATTGTTAGCAACGGAAGAGCTGATAGGCCGGCAGGTTCCAAATTAATTGCAGATGGCCGGCCCATGGATCACTCAGACGTTGTCAATGCCCTTAGAGCAGTTGCTCTCAACATTCCTAATGCCGCAAGCCTTTAATAAAGATCCCTCATTATGTGGCAAACCCCAAACAATTATTTTCCTTCATAACTTCAATAATTTGTGTTTTACAATAATCTTAGACGACCCCTGTGAAAGGGTCGTTTGACCCCAAAAAGGGGTCGCAACCAGCAGGTTGAGAACCACTGTCTTAGAGAGATAGGGCGTTTCGGGAATTTTGGAAACGTGTCCACATCACTGCTAAGAATATGAGAATTGGGAGTAAAGAGCGGCACAGCCAAGCATGAGAAGCACAGCATAGGACTGGCATTATTAACATCACGACACTGATGAACATGTTGAAGGGAGAATCTGAGCACCTATGGATGTGTCAGGAGTGATGTGAAGATAATGCAGCTTATAACTACGACTCATAATGCCGAGATACCTGGTTCGATCCCAGCTGCAGGTGATTTGGCATCAGATAGTCTTGCGTTATTGGTGGTACCGAAAGCTGACCGTTTAGATGGCAATTTAAACTACTGAACATAAAAACAGCCTTAAAATTTTAGGGTTTGGTTCTACAACGTTCTGTAAAGGAGACACAAATAACTTTTTGTTTAGCTCTATTCTATTTCTTCTTCGCGTTCACCAGATGTAAACTCTGGCGGAAAGTTCTGGATGTTCATCCCCTTCTGGACTGCAGTCCTGTATTCTATTTCAAAAGTCTGGCGAGAATTGTCAGTAGCTGACTTCCTCAGTCTTTTCCCAGAAAGTCTCTTATGCGTTTGACATACAGCAAAGCTTGGGGATTTCGGGACCTTCGAATCAAACAAACTCCTATACCCGCTGTACTATATGAATGGTGTACATAAATTAAAATAAAAACACATTCTTGTTCTCCTTCTCTCTACTCCTGTGATGCCTCTCGGCGTCAGGAATGGGCCATACAGATTATTCATTTTTAATAATTATTTTACACGGTGGCATCTGGTGAAAGATGTTACACGGAGATATTGACAAAAACACTGACACAAGTCAATGAAGCCTGTTCCCCTGTGTGAATGAGAATGCTGGACAGTGACGAAATGTTGAAGAAACTGGAGAGATTCATGTGTTGACTGGGGTTTAATATCATTACGAATATTCTGGACTTTTTGTAGAGACATTATCGGACTCACAGTGAACAAGAAGAAGACTAAATGTTTTCTGTCTGTTGTTAACGTAACTCCTACTATTTGTAAATTTCGCCGGGTATGAGTGAATTCATATTGACCGATTATAGCTAAATTGCCAGCAGTGAAGGGATCATTAATGATATCCTGATGAGAGAAGAGACGTGTGCAGCCGCACTAGACTTAGAGGATGCGTACAACAGAGTACCATTTTAAAACTTGGTGCACATACTTCTCTAACTGCAAGTATCTCCCTTCATCACCCGCTGGGTAGCCATGGCACTGTTTCAGAGTCGGGTGATACTCATATGTGATTGATGGTCCTCAGAACGGATAACCATCAGTCCAGGATTGCCTCAGGGTTCTCCGCTGTCTCCAGTTCTATTCAATGTGTACACAGTGCTGATAACTGAGCAAAAATTGCACAGGAGAGGCAGGACTTTGTCATTTGCTGATGACATCTTGGTATACCGACATGCAAGAGATCGCCAGTTCAGTGTAGTGTGAACTTGATCATCCCTCTGGTGTGTAGATTCTAATGCACATGTCAACACTGTAAAGGCCACAGTAATATAGTTCTCCTTGAGCACGCATATAGTGAAGGCAGACTTACCAGCGGTGAAAAGTAGTAACAAAATTTTGACGAAAATAAATCTGATGACATATCTCAGACAGGTTCGATCGAAGCCTGTCATTCAAAGAGCATGTTGACTATGTACGCAAAAGCCCGTCAGTAATGAGGGTCCTGATCGCCGTTAATATTAGCAGAAACAGCTTCTGTTCCAGGGATTTGTTCTTTCTCCCATTGAATAGGCTCTTGCCATTCTCACTGTCAGCAATGTGCATTATTCTGGGGTGTAATAGAGATACCTTCTTGACTTTCCTATCATGAACTATAGGATAAAGATCTGGAGGGCTGGCACATACCTCAAGAAAAGCTCCGATCTGAAGCACCCTTTGCTCTTCAGAGAAAAAGACAATAGACTCAAAAGTGGCAAATCATAGCTGGGTAATGATGCCCCCAATTAGTCGACCGATGACATGCTTGTAGGGGGAGACAGTGGGTCTATACTTGGTTCCCCCACAATAGGGCCCAGGAACCCACACGGGAAGGCAAAGTAAAATCTCCTCATACACCCAATGACCCTAACTTTCCCTCACGCATGTGATCAAAACCAGCGCTTTAAGATTTTAGCAACCACACACAGGGAATCTTCTCTTTCTTGTCACCCATGTTTGATAAGGATCACAGTACATCTAATATACTAAGATAAGCAAGGATTACCGTACATCTAATATACTGAGATAAGCATTCACTCAAGTTAAAAAAAAAATTAGTTATAACAAAAAAAACTATGACAAAGTCGGCATCTGTGGCTTACGCGTTGTGAACGCGCTTCGTAATGCTGGGGTACCAGGTTCGACCCAAGCTGCGGACGATTTGTCTTGCGTTGGTTTCGACAGCTGACCGTTCAGTAGCGATGGAAAACTACCGGACATAAATTTGCCTAGAAAAACTACAACCGCCAAAATGGCTGGGGTTGGCTCTGCAATGTCCAGTAAAGGTTATGCAACTACTGTAGCTTTTTTAACTTTAACTATGACAAAAGGCTAGTTTATATCATAAAAGTTTAATAACCTCCGAGACCATGTACATAAATTATTCGTCACATATACTATGCCACAGTATAATGAGCTGTAGGAAACAAATGAGAATGCATCTATAAGTAAGTAAAGCACATTGGGCACATTGTGACCCATATTTGTATTAACCAGCTGGCACTCAATAAGTAATGTTTTTAACATCACACTAGCCACTTTACTTCCCAGACCATTTCCTGGTACCCAGTTGAAACTGGGTCGACTCAGGATACATTTTTAAACATGTGCATCAATATGAGTTTGAACCCAGACCTTAAGTCTGGCAGGCAAGCACATACGTGCACAATAAAGTTGTTAGTTCAGGAGTTCCCAACTTCTCTGAGATCATGGTTTCCATGGCAAGCAACATTCTTTCTGTAGCTCAGCTGTGCCACCAGTGGGAAAGCTCTAGCCATGTTTTCACATGTAGTTTTTTTCTTTCCTTTCTTCTTTTTCTAGTTGGCAGATGAGCGTTCAACAGCCCATGAGTCCTCACGTCTAATATACTGCTTATAACACAAAGATAATCTCAGAACAGTGCATCAACTCTGTAGAACTGGTCAAAATCTAACATGCAGGTATCCCAGAATAATACACGCTATAAATAATTCCCTCTTTTCATTTTGTGCGTAATTTGTCTAGTTCACCTGGCACTGCCTATTCTGTCTGCTCAAGAGGTAGAGTTTACACATGCCTACAGGTTTTCTGGGTTGCTCACCCTTGGGTTAAATGTTAAATGTCCAACTCACTATCAGGGGAAGTCAACTTCCTTGTTCTCATTTTGTCAAATCCAAACAGTCAACACACTGTGAGCAACCAGGTCTGCACATGCAGTTCTTTCTAGTACTGGTCTTGCAAACCCTTTTTGTTGTTGTTTGGAACTCAAGAAACTGGACAATTCTATATCAGTCCCCATGAAGAGGACAATCACACGCTCTCATAATTGTCCTGGGTTGGGAGAAACGTGTCCTGGCTAACCGCACTCCGACACACACAAGAACATTTTGTAGGGTCCCAAAATACCTGACCACTAATTCATCCAATTAATACTTTACACACAACAAGGTCTACACACACCAACATGGCTGACATGTTCCAAGAGACTGAAAAATCATGTTAAAAACATACCTGATAAATGGTGACTAACAAAACTATACCCCTGCTGGGACCATAATTGTGTTCATATTAAACAAGTGTTCTTCTTAAGCCAGTTCGTGTTAATGAGATTTTACTGTATAACATTCAACAATAGTAAAAGTAAAATATTGTAAAGAATCCCAGCAACCAATCTTCTACCACTTACCAGAACATTTGTAGAATACAAAACATGCTTCTAACCCGACACCAGATCTGGCTAATTAAAGTAAGTATATGGGCCTGTCAATGTGGATACAGTGCATACTCTAGTGAGAGATCAAGAGACAGTCTGTGTGAGTGATGTGACCCAGCATGTGTGTTTACAGGTCTGTTTACTGAAACAAATATGCAAAATTATAACTTTATCTGCATGTACACAAAAATAATTTAATGAAAACTTACCTGTTCAATCAGGTGGATGTGCAAATTGTGGTTTAAAATACAGATATTAAAATTTAAAAAAAACAAAAAGGAACAATGTCTGTGGAGATGTTATCAATGTTGAGTTACCTGAAGCTGACTTCCCAGCTCATGCACTTCGGCTGACTTCTGAAGGTAATCAAACAAGGCAAATCTGAAGTGAGTGAACAAGGCAAGTCTGAAGCTAAAAGCACATAAGGCAAATTTGAAGGTGTGAGCAAAAAAGCACATTTGAAGGTGTGAGCAAAAAAGTCAAATCTGAAGGTGAAGAAACAAGGCAAATCTGAAGGTGAAGAAACAAGGCAAATCTGAAGGTGAAGAAACAAGGCAAATCTGAAGATGAACAAACAAGGCAAATCTGAAGGTGTGAGCAAACAAGGTATATATGATGGTGAACAAACAAGACAAATCTGAAGGTGTGAGCAAACAAGACAAATCTGAAGGTGAGCAAACAAGACAAATCTGAAGGTGAGCAAACAGGCACATCTGAAGGTGAGCAAACAAGACAAATCTGAAGGTGTGAGCAAACAGGCAAATCTGAAGGGGAGCAAACAAGACAAATCTGAAGGTGTGAGCAAACAGGCAAATCTAAAAGTATAAACAAACAAGACAAATCTGAAGGTGAACAAACAAGGCAAATCTGAAGGTGAGCAAACAAGGAAAATATGGAAGGTGTGCGCAAATAAGGAAGGTGTGAGCAAATATGGTGTTTAAAAACAGGAAAATCTGCAAATGTGCAAACAAGGCAAGTGTGCCACAAAGAGGACTAAGCTACAGGCTGTAGATGGTCCAGGAATGTAAAGTAAGGAGATATCTAAACAATTTCACAATCTCAGTGTTAGTCAGTCAGTCTTTCCTATTAGGCCAAATGCGCGACGCGACGCACAGGGCAGTGGGCAAAGCTCTCCATGTCTGGCGGTTCGTTGCCAGCTGTTTAAGGTCTTGGATGTTTATTAGGCCCATGGTTGAGCATTTCTCAATGATGGTTCTACGTAGGGTTCTTCTTAGTCTTTCTCGTTTTCTTTTCCCTTCTGCTGTCCTTTTGAGGGCTTTATCGGGAAGTGTTGTTTTATCTATTCTGATTGCATGGTGGAAGTAGTTTCAACGACGCTTTCTGATAAAACTGGATACATTGTCTTGCTTGGTCTCTTGTCTTATTTGCGTGTTGGATCTTAAATCTGTCTAATTTTTTTTAATATCTAGAACTATATCATTGTTTTCCAACTCTCGCATCAATAAGTTAGCACCAGAATCACACAAGAGTTGAAGATTTTAAGTGTGATTGCTGACTTCAATATATTTGACAGTTTGTTTAAACATTTCTCCTGAGATGTCTTCATCGCCAAAAGCTTTGTTATTCCTCATTTTATTTTAAATACACAGATTAAAACATGAATGTCTCACGGGAAACATCTAGTAGGGGCATGATAACATCTTCATCCAGATTGGGAACAATGTCAGGCTGTGGTCTTTTTAATCTTTCTTTAAAATGTTCTGCCTATAGTTGCTTTAGACAGTGTAACGAAATTTATATTTTTTAAACTGAATTTTACCATAATAGCCCATTTGTTTCAGGAACCATGTGATACTGTCAAAACTTTGCCATTTTTTCTGCAACTGCCTCGAAGAACCAGTTTGGATCTTGTACTAGACAATGTGTTAAATTGGAATAATTTATCAGATCCTTTGAGAGATTTATGAAAGATCTGTAAACATTATATATAAACATTATATTTTCAAAAAATAATACCTGAAAATGCAAATGATCTGCACCAACTGTTACACATAGTATAGAAAGAAAAAAAATAAAATACTTCTCTTGGATATTAACTCTTTGAGTCCCAGGGGGTTTAGCATCACAGGCCCAAGGGGTAGTAAAGAAAGACATAAAATCGGTGCATCTTGCGTTCATTGGGCTTCTAGGTAGGAATCTATGAACATATGATGTGTTCCTTGGGACTCAAAGAGTTAAGAAAACAAAAATGGGTATATCATGTGAAGACAAGGATAACATCAATACGTAATATTAAAACAGTAAATAAAATGTTTATAACCCGGTCATACAATTCAAATACTTGGGAGCAGCTGGAAGATGAAGATTTAGAGCAGACTAGGCAATATTTCATCTTTGAGTTCACTGGCTGTAAACTCTGGCAGAAAGTTCTGGGTGTTCATCCACCTCCAGACTTTGGTCTTGTTCTAGAGCCTGAGTGTTGTGTGCACATCCATTTCACACATCTGGCTTATATGTATGCAGTCCACTGGTTACTTGCCTCTCAGGCAGATGTACTCCAACTCCGAAGAATGTCCCCAATTAGTCGAATCATACGACATGCTTGTTGGGGAGGCAATGGGTCTATTCTTGTTTTGTTTTTTTCAACAGTAGAGGCCTCGAACCCATACAAGGAGATCAGGCAATACGAAAGCATAGAAAAATATAAAAGTTCTATTTCAGAAGATGGAAAGCATCTCATAAATTACAGAATGTTGGAAAGAGAGCACTGACAATTTATGTCCAACCTGCTTCTCTGAATGGATGTGAATCTTGGATAATGAAGAAGCAAATGAGAGACACTTTAGTGCAAAGACATGGTTTCTGAGATCAATGCTGCTAATACCTGGACATCCAGAGTAACTAAAGACAACCATCTGGAAAAGAGAGCAGTCTGATATAACTATCACTATGTGCATGCCTGTTACATGTTTGAATGAGTTATCCACACAAAACACAGCAGGAGTTTTATTCATGCTTGGAACAGTCTAGATTTGGTACTGGCTTCAATCTCACCTGACAGGAAACAGTTTTAATTTCTGTGCCAGGACACTCTGTGGTAAGAGGGAATGAACGAGCAGATTGGCTTGATGTCTGGGCCTGGATAAGCACAGAACAAGCCAATGTTCCCAATGCTCTCAAGGAAGCAGAACCAGTAGATGATTTGGGAGAAGAGGGTGAATCGGCAATTCTGACACAAGACTACAAGAACGTCACGCTAAAAGAGATGTTGCCAGACATGAACACTATACAGGCAGCCACAGAAGAATGGTCAACCAATACAGAACTGGTGCCATCAGTTGCCACAAGCTTCAGGAGATACTGAAGATGGGATCTGAGTGCTTATGGACTTGTGTTATGTGCAAAGAGGGTTATCAGATAATTAACTAACTGATTTGAATATTTCAAACGTAAACAGAAAAGACGGTACATTTGTATGATATACAAGAAGTTCCCTAGCAAAAACTACTTGTAAAAAGTGAAGTGCTGGGCGTTTACATATACCAGCCTACGATATAAAGAGTGGACTGGCCAGATCCTTTCTCATTACTCCCAAGACAACTCCCAGAAAACTTTCAGATCAATTTGTTTATGAGGCTGGTTGGTCCCTGAGACAAACTGGCTAGAATTAAAATAATTCTCCTATTGCTTGAGATAAAACCTAGATTACTGTATGAGCCAGCAAGTGGCTAAACAAATGACACCAAAGCTTCATATTCATAAAAATTACTTTCCCCACAGTCAGTGTTTGCAAGTATAATTCAAAATTATTCTCCAGTCAGACCCTACATGTATAAATAACAAATAAATCCCCAGTCAGTTTGTATATGTATACATAAGTAATTAATTAATTTCCAGTCGGTGCATACATACATACATAAATAATTAATTAATCATGAATCCCCACAGTGTATGTATAAATAAATAATCACCATAGTCAGTATGTACATGTATAAATAAATTATCCATTTCCCTCAAACGTGTACATGTATAAATAAATGATCCATTCCCCCCAAACGTGTACATGTATATATAAATGATCCATTTCCCTCCAAACATGTAAATGGAAAAAAAAAAATGATCCATTTCCCCCCAGATGTGTACTTGTATAAATAAATCGTTTTAGTGTTTACCGGCTGTAAACCACAGGTGAAAGTTCAGGGTTTTCATCCATTTTTGGACTTTATCCTTGATTCAGAATTTGAATTTTGCACACATATCCATTTTACAGACCTATCATATATGAATGCAGACTGATGGTTCCTTGCCTATCAGGCAGATGCACTTCAAGGGAATATAAATAAATGATTAAGCCGATATTTTCTCAAACAATCTCTGTCTGTAGTTAAGCATAGCCTGTATATGTTTATACGTCAACAGGTCAGCAAGAGAAAAGAAAGCAGAGGATACACGCCTGGACTTCCTTCCTGTCACATGACTTATAACCTGAATGGCTTCTTCTAAAGAAGTTGTCATTGATGATGCAGCTGGAAACAATTTCAAGTTCCACAGACTGACCTCCTCACTTCTTACAATCTCTCCAATCGGTGAGAGATTGCTATGCAAACTTCCAGAAACATTTGTTATAATTCCTTCAGGCAAGATGTCTTCTTTAACAAGACCCTGCACCTCCATGAGGTGACCAATATTAGATCCCATAAAAGGCAAAGACTCCACATCGCACAATGAAACAGATTTCTTCAGATTGTCATCCATGCTAAAGAAAACTGTTACATATTTGGTCTGACTTTCCACAGTTATAGGCACAGTGTGCAAGAATGTATTTTTAGGAATGGTCAACCTGGCATCTTGTGCTGTTGTTTCAGTCCACAAAAGCTGACAGTTGCTGAGAATACATTTTTCCTGTATATTAACAGGCAACTCAAAGTCACAGTACTCTATAAAACAGTCTGCACCAATTGAGGATTCAGTGTTGAAAACAGAATGAATAACACAGGCATTTGCTGACACGCTTGCTTTATCTCTCACTACACATGTTGAAGTAAAAAGCTGTGTTCCTGTAGTTTTTCCTTTTGAGCTCCAATTATGCCAAGAATTAAAGACATCCTTCTCAAAGGCCAACTGGCGCTGGAAATTCTTATCCTGGCAGAAATGATGTTGCAGCTCTTTCATAGTTCCAATGTGGATAAATGTTGAAGCATTCATGACAAGCACGTGGATATCTGAACCATTCAAACAATCAAACACACCCTGTCGCATCTGAAGCAGACTTGGGGTCACCTGGCTAACATTGGATGTCAGATGGATATATTTATTTGTGGCACACCTTCCCACTGCCTGAAGAAAATCACCATAAGCGTCAATCTCACAGGAAAGACTGCCAACAGACTTCTTCCAGTTGAGCAGTTTTTGGATGATATCCACACCAAAGTAAAAGCTACTATCGGTATAAACCACATCTCCATCAATGTGGATTCCACCTGCAAAATCATGAGTTTCTTCTTTCAATAGTGCGCCATGTAATTTCATTCGCTCATCCGTTGGTTTCTGCAGTACCTCTGAGCATTCACTCAAGACAACTGGGTTCATTGGGTCCATCCCTGCAATATTTTTAATCACAAAAACACCATGCGTTCTGCCAACCGCGATGGGAGAAGGATGGGCTAAAGCAGTGAAGCCTTTCCCTGGAATTCTCCAGTCACGACTTGTGTCTAAGCTGTAAACAAGAAAATCATCTGCACAAGTCAAGAAGACTCCAGGGTCCACCCTGTCCACTAGAGGCCAGTAAAGTGCTAACTTCAGGTCAAGCATCTGGTAGGGTGGGTTGCCGTGTGGCAGCAAAGAGAAGATCTTGCCCAGGATGGTTGAGCTCGGCATTCTCTGGCTCCAACCCCCAGCATGGATCAGGAGAATTTTCTTCTGGTAAATTTCAGGTCCGTAAACAGTGTCCAGAAATTCTAAAGCAGTCAAGGTGGAACCTCCATTACCTGTGAAGGACATCAAATAACGAAGTACAGGTTTGGATGTCATTTATAATTTTCTAACTGGCCGCTGTTTAGTCAGTCCAAACATAACATATTTATATTAACTCTTTTCATTTGTTAAACTGATGCATTCAGTTTGAACTTTATTTAAACTCCCAGTGAACTAAATAATTATTATTTTAGCTCCTGCAGGGCCAAATATTGCTTCACACTGTTTAGGTAGAATCAGATAATATACTGATGTATTTGAAATCAAGAATTCAGGTAAGATACTGATGTATTTGACATCAAGAATTCAGGTAAGATACTTATGTATTTGACATCAAGAATTCAGGTAAGATACTGATGTATTTGACATCAAGAATTCAGGTAAGATACTGATGTATTTGACATCAAGAGATCAGATAATATACTAATGTTTTTGACATCAAGAAATCAGATAATATACTGATGTATTTGACATCAGGAATTCAGGTAATATACTGATGTATTTGACATCAAGAATTCAGATAATATACTGATGTATTTGACATCAGGAATTCAGATAATATACTGATGTATTTGACATCAGGAATTCAGATAATATACTGATGTATTTGACATCAAGAATTCAGATAATATACTGATGTATTTGACATCAGGAATTCAGATAATATACTGATGTATTTGACATCAAGAATTCAGTTAAGATACTGATGTATTTGACAGCAAGAATTCAGGACAATTTTTTGAAAAAATTTTTTTAGCCAGAGGCAATCAATTACCCGCTACACCACACCGCTCCCATATATCGAATGCTAATCAATCCATATATTAAACAGAGCAAAGAGTGAACTGCTTTAGCCACCTTCGACCCCAAAAATATACGGTTTCATTAACAAAAGCAGATTAAGCAAAGTGAATCGTAGGTTTATTTTGACGCAACAACGACATAACAATAACCCCAAATAATATATTTGTTCACCTGTAATAATATTTAGAAATCATATTTATGTTAATATAATCATATCTACCATAGGCACACATTAAACAGTTGAATCCGGCACCAAAGCTGGTATATAATTAAAAAAAACCTGACAAGTCTAGATCCCTGCATAAATGGGGCGAGTGTTAACTAAGGCTACATTAATACATGAAATGGCACTGACTTTCACATGTTCAACTGCTGATCTGTTTGTAACTGCTGCTTCCGTCGCTGATGAACTACATTTTAATGTCGGACTGTTTGTGTTAGCACTTCTGATGGCTGCCCTTAAGCTTTTAATGTGTGTGTGTGCGCATGTGTGCTAGTGGATATGCTGAGATTGCAGTCTGTATCAGTTTGTAGACAAGGGACAGTGATAGACATTCTGTGTGTTTTTATTGGCACAGAAGCGGAGCAGCTATGGGGATTCCCAGTTTACCAATTGGTACTAAACCCACATATTATATGAATGATAATCAAATTGTTCAGTTGCAAGTGAGGGCAATAACCCTAATGAAACAAACAATAACCCCAATGACACAAACAACATGTATCGATGTTAAAAACACATTATTCTTGTAACATGTTAACTAATATTATCAGATGTTTTTTTATAATGCTCAAGTCTCCCTCTATCTCCCTTTCTAACAATCTATGCAGACGTGAACATAGATGTGCAGACATTAAAAGAGATGTGCGTGTATTACCTATTCTAACTCCAGGAGGATCTGGCACAACAATCAAAGTCAGATCTGTTGGCAGCTCCCGCCGGTGGAATTTCTCTGTAATCTGCAGTTCAAATGCTTCCTTCTGTGCCACATCAGCAGTCGTTATGACAACAAGGTCCCAAAAAGGTCTCTGACCACTGTCTTTCTTCTGACCTGCATAAAGACATACACAGACAAATAGATTGCCATTTCACAATTATCAACACTGTACTACAGAGACTAACCACATAATGTAATATTGTTATGAGGTGAGATAACCAATTCTCTTCCACACTGTCTATATTTGCTGTGAGTGTTCTTTGACTTGACTCCCTGGAGTGATTTCTTTACACTAGTCGTTCCCAGTGAGCTCAGACCTGTCAAGCCCTTTTATTTTTGTAGGTCTGCTGCAGACCTCACACTTTTTAAGTCAAAATGAAGAACTTAATACAATTTATAAATATTCTTATCATGAAAAGGACTCCATTCTAAAGATGAGTTTTTATAGGTTCCAACATGTCGACTCCAGGGTTCCATTTGGAATGGGGGGGGGGGGGTGGGGGGGGGAAGGCCACTGCCTCCATAAAAAGCATGTTGTACAAGTCAATCAATTAGGGGTCATCCTTTAAACTCGGAGTGCATCTGCCTGAGAGGTGAAGAATACAAGTCTGCATACAAAAAAGTCAGATCTGTGAAACAGATGTGCATGCAAAACTCAAGTCCTGCAGCAAAACCAAAGTTCAGAAATGGACAAACAACCAGAATTTTTCCACCCAAGTTTACAGTTGGTGAAGGCGAAGAAGAAGATAGGTTTTTATTTTAAATACTGTCACAGATCCCTCAAATTTGTTCTATGGACCTACAAATGGGGAACCCTGCTTTTCAACATTAAGTGAAGGAGAAAACGGGGGAATAGAAGCAGATTCTGCTGAAATGTAAATGATATTTACTTTGACTTTGTTAGAGCTGAACACACCAGAATTTTCTAGTATACATATAATAAGATAGTCATTGAGCTTTCTTAATAAATGATAATCTGTACTAGTGTGTTATACAAACAGTAAAGGAAGCACACAGTATACACACACACAAAGTAGGCCCTGTTAGCAAACCACACACACACATTTTTATTGACCAACCACTGATCTGCACATGTAAAACAGTGAGCACTGAATATGCTGCAGATACAGACCGTTTGTGATTACTTTCTATATAGCAGATGTCTTTTTTTTTTTTGCTTAATTTTTTTTAAAGACACTATCCAGTCAAAGACACATTAACCTGCCTACTGCTGACTGGCGAGGATGCTTAATCTATAACATGTCTACTTCAGTTATGAGACAAAAGACACCTGTTGAAAGGTTCCAAACCCTCTCTTATCAGCACATTGTCATAAAAAAAATTTTTTGTAAAGAAAGAAAGATAGAAAAATCTAAATCTTAGTTTTTTAAAATGTCGGAGTTATTAATATTAGTTGGGCCCTATTGCATTATATACTACTGTTCAACGAGTGTTCCTTGCATTTTTCAATTTATACAAAATGATTTTTGCTATTTTATTTTAAAACCATTTCTTTTACTTTTTTAAACAGTGCAGTGTGTGTTGACTGAGAAGTTCTGATTTGCCAAAACAACACAGTGTGCGTCGATCATGTATCTCGCACATACTGATTCATATACTCATATTCATATACTAGTCTGTAATGTTTGAAAACTATATTTAGAATATCAGGGAAGGTTACTCTAATGCTTTTTGTGTGTTTGTCTACAAGGCTTTTGGCATACATTTAAGTGCACAATATCGAATTTATTTTCACACAGTAAAGTTTCCAATTTCGTCTTTGACTGATCATGGATACCAGTGTTCATAGCATTAGCACAGGCTGCAAAATGTGCGGCCAAAGCTCTTATATTGTTTTGGTCAGATAATTTTATTTCTGAGTATGATAATATAAACTTATTTTAGCTTCTGAATTTGTTAGGAAATGGAATAAACTTTAAAAGCATTATTCTGAAATCTGGAAATTCGCTGATCTTATGGCTGCAAAACCATGTTTAGGTGAGGAAATATTTTTACAAAATTATGTCTTTGTAATCATAACACCCACTGAGCTCTTTTTTTTCCAACTAATTTTAACAGCATTAATTAGACACTGACAAATCATTCTAATTCAAAATATACATTAAATTCTATACATACACATACTGATATATACACACCCCCGTGTGGGTTCCGGGGCCCTACTATGGAAAAAACAAGAATAGACCCACCGCTACCCAAAAGCATTTGGTAAGATTCAACTAATTGGGAGATTCCTTCGAAGTCGGAGTGCATCTGCCTGAGAGCAAGGAACCAACAGTCTGCATACAGATCTGTCAAACGGATACACATGCAACACTCAGGTTCTGGAACAGGACTGCAGTCCAGAAGTGGATGAACAACCAGAACTTTCTGCCGGAGTTCACAGCCGGTGAACACGAAGAAGAAGAATATATACACACTTGTATAAGGATTACAAATTTATATATTCTCTTTTGCCTTTTTTTTTAAAACCCTCACCCCTTTTTCTGCTATATTTGTAAAGAGAAATTAAAATGAGCCAAGTCTGTTCAAATTCACGGGCCTGAAAGAGTCAAGCCATTTGTGTCATGTGTAGTCTCCTTATCTGAACTATTAATAATGTCTTGTTGACAACTTCTGTGAGGCAGAAGTAACAGAAATGTGCATCTCTGTCACGAAACGACCTGTGGTTTCAGAAGTTAGTATGTGAAATAATTTCTTCTGTTTATTGAGAGACAAAGATATCTATTTACTATGCCCTTCACCCAAATATTATTAAAACCGCAGGGATTTAATTGTTACCAGTCCTTAGTCCAGACAAAGCGACCCAGCCTTGTGTAATATTACTCAACTTTACCTGCGCTCATGCCTGTGTGATAAAATTATCTCCTGACCAGTCTGTAGTGGCTAGCAAACAGGGAACTAATTATCACACCTGAGATTATCTCCCCTGAGCTGAATCTTAGTGTCATAAATGTTACATAACACAGACTGAGTGGGGCCTTTTGATCAGAGCAGATCAGGGGAATTAAGTGGACTGGTAGACCTGACGGCGTCCAGGAAATTTTCAGGAGAACAGGTGTTTGCCATTTAAGAATGTCGAAACATTGGTCAAGGCCTTTCACCTTGAGTGACAGGCCACATGCTAGCTAATTTGATCTGCAAGGTACTTCTGGGGCGTGGCTTAGATCTTCTCCAGTAGAACCTAGAAGGGGGAGGAGTTAACCTTGCAGACAGATAGATAGGTTATACTTCTAGCATCATTCACATCGCAGCCTGCTGGCAACAAACACAGATCGATGTAGAAGTAATTCTTACTGTCTGATTCTGGTTTGGCGATTGATGGAATGTTCCCAGGTAAGCTTGTACAATTATTTTTAATCTTTATACATAGGTTAGGGAGTTAGCTAAAGCCTATTCTACCTTCTCCTAATTTGTCTACATATTCTGCTTGAAATAGTTCTTTGTGAGTATTCAGTATCTCCGTTAGGGAACTGCTAAACCATTTCTATTTCTTGTATGTTTGTGCCACATGTTTTTCAGTGTATGTTTTTATGTTTATAAAATAAGACTTATATACTGAATTATAATGTTTCAACCATCAACCAAAACATACGTTTGGACTGTGGCAAATGATGCCTACATATATGCAGCCATGCTGTTACGTTTTGTGTGCCCACCATGTGCTCACTTAATGTGTTCACCTTACACCGGGGATTTATAATCCCAGGGGAAGAATGATGGGTCTATAGAATTCACTGCCACTGAAAGATAATATTCAGGACAGCATGCACGTATAAAATGTTTTGCGTGTTCAGCACATAACCTGCGCCACATGTTTATGTCAAATCAATGTCAGCCAGTTGGAAGTCTGAGTGATGACGGACAACAGACTTAGAAAGTCAACTATCATGACAGAACATGAGAGGGAAGGCAGGATATGTGACTTCAATGTAAGACCTAAGACCTTCAGACTAGACTGAAGAGAATGTGGAATATGAGGAGGAGTGATGAGATTTATTTTATTATTATATATTGTATTAATTGATACATGTATTCTTAGTGTAAGTCAAGATACTACACGTATGTGTTTGTTTCCATGATTACAGCTGCCATGTGACAATCAGTCCATACACGAGACTACATTGTGTTAGAACTCGGCCAGCTGGGGACGAGGTGGGAACGAGGTGGAGAACCAGGAGAACTGGAAAGAAAAGGTGGAAGAGCTTGACAGTACCCACGGCTGTCAGAGGTTCTAAAGTTACGTACCATCATGTTTTTATGGGTGTAAACTTATCACCACCATTATCACTTCACTCTAATCTTAGGTGCTCAGTTATCTAGCTGAAGCCTCTCATTACCACCATACCATCACTGTCTACTATAATAATAATGATGAATAATGTCATCCACTGATTGCTAGGTTAATAAATCAAATATATGGTCTTATCCTGCACCAGTTTTTGTAATTCCAAATGTGTCTGTTCGTACATGTTTAATTAAACTGTCAAGATAAAATTACATTTGGTGGGGGCTCAAATATTAATTCTTTACCGGGAGAAGGTGGGACAGAGGGGTCATTTGCCCTGTCTAATAATTCATTCAATATAATGATATAGACATCTAAAACCCCTTTCCTTCTCTTGTGGGTACCAAGTGCAGCTAATGTTAAAGTAATTAACGAGCCAATATGGCTGTTTTTCTTGGATATCCAGGACTTTGTCTAAGAGCAACACAGCTCGGATATTAGTTCGGTTAATCTGGTGGAGGGAATTTGTTGAGAGGAAAATCCCTACTCAACATATAAATCATTAAATACCCGTCACGTCACGATCTCAATTATGACCTACTTCATGATTTACCACAAAAATATCCTGCTGTGTAAAATAGTCCTTTACTGAATTCCTTCTGTTTATTCCAGGGGCACCCATTTAGAAGGAGGGGGGATAGGCCCTTTGCCCTCAAGTATGTCGTAAAATGCCACTAAACAGGGGTGTTTCCTTAGTGCATATGCCTGAGACTCAAGGACCCAACAGTCTGCATACACACATAAGTTAGATCTGTAAAACAGATGCCACGCAAAACTCAAGTTAGTAAGTTGCGTATCCTTTACAGGACGTTGAAGAGCTAACTCTAGCATCTTTTGGCTGGTGTGGTCGCGTCCAGGGGTTTGCCATTGCTTCTGTAAGGTCGGTGTTTGATAACACTGTCAAAACCAACGCAAGGTGCAAGGCCTTCAACTGGGATCGAACCCAGCATTTCAGCATTACAAAGCGCGTTCGCAACGCCTGAGGCACAGACGCCGATTCTAGGACAAGACTAAAGTCCAGAAGTGGACGAACAACCAGGACTTTAATGTAAACGTGAAGAAGACTTACTTAAATTACCCACTTGGGTTCAACTGAACAGGATACCGATATCCGATAAAACTACTACTACTACAAAAATAAATCTTTTGTATTATGTTACTACTAATAAGATTAAATATTATTAAGTAATTTTTTTTTTTAATTCGAAGCTGAAACGTGTTTTTTTTTTTTTTTTACAAAAAATGTTACTTTTACCTCTTAACTGTTTATATTCATCCAGAAGAGATTTCATGAACGTAGTGATTTTCTTATCCTCGTCCATGTTGGGGACGCCACAGATAACAGGATCTGATAGATTTTATCCTCACAAATACCTTGACAGGAGGCTCCTGGACAAGCAGTTCACTGAGGCTTGTCGTCGACTGTCACGTCTGATACTGATACCTGACTTCTTGTTGTGTGACTGCTGCGACTGTACTCCACCCACACTCCGCTTCAGCGCTTCTCAAACTGGTAGATGTGTTGGGAAATGAACACCAGACAAGACCGGTTGGCTAGTTCTGCACGAAATGGATGACAAACTGATGCTTGCTTAGCCATATGTGGTCAATCCTCTTTGGGAGCGATTGAACAGCACAGACGGGCTAATAAATCATAACGTTCTGAACAGAAGTAAATTAATCAAGTAACAGAAAGATTTACTGGCGCACGGTCTTCTCTATTTATATACAGAAGGATCTGGCTGGCGTAAAACGGATCCGTGTAAATCAGGAGTCGGCTCTGTGGCTAAGTCGATGCGAACGCTCCGCTTCGTAATGCCAGGTTCGATCTCAGCTGCGGGCAATGCGCCTTGCTTTGGTTTTGATAGTGGTATCAAAAAAGCCGAGCCGTCCAGAGGCAATGGCAAACTACTGGACGTAAATTTGCCTAGAGAGACCACACAACTTCCAAGGGCTATTAGGGTTCGTTCTGCTGTAAAGGATACGCAACTAACTTTTTAAGTAAAGCAGGACATTTGCCTCGTCTGTATTTTAGTTGACGAGAGCGTTTGACCTCTGCATTGATAACGACAGGATTCTGCTCCCTGCATAGCCTGTCAAGTGGGCAATACAGGAAAATGTACAAATAAACGCGCGAGGCACGGGTATCCGCTCTGCACCAGCGGTGATGTCGGTTAGGCAGCATATTTAATTGATAACATCTTCCGTCCGACCTAGCCATGATTGTCCACTCTTCATCCTGTCACCCCTTTTCATCGAAAAGCGCTTGATGCAGTGGGTGTTTCTTATCAGAGCATAATTTAAGGTATGCCTGAGCCCCCCAGATCCTGATCTTTTGGTTCATGGTTGTAACGTCAAGTAGATATCTCATTGCTGCACACGACGTGTCTCTTGTACATCCCAAAATAATGAGCATGGCTTCATTTTGCACATTTTCAAGTCGGTCAGTCTGTGTAGCACTGACAATGAGCATGGCCAGAGCACATTCAATGGGGGAAAGGACCAGCCTATAAAACAGAAGTATTGCCAATATTTTGTGTGTGCTTTCGTTATCACATGGTCAACATGTTCCCTGAATGACAAACCCCGAGATTTGTTTCTACGTTGGCTCTAATACACATTACAACCCATTTTCACTATTTTTTTTTTTTAATAAGAGTTTGAAATATGAAATAAAAACAACTTCCGCTGTTCGAACAAATACCGGTATTTAGATCTATTCTTCAAAAAATCTGGCAAGGTCAGGTCAGTAATGGCGGCTGACCTATCCTCATCTTTCTCGTAAATTATTGCAGATTACGTCGTTTTGTGGCTGCAAACCATTTGTAAGATATTGTAATTTATTACTGCCATAACATGCTCTAACTTGTCAGTTATGATTATTATTGAACTGAAGCAGAAAAAATCATAGTTGTCGATGGAGGATTACGATTAAAGGCGAATTAGATACTTACTTTAGTTTTAGTAGTGTAGTCAAATTTTTAAAATGCCCTCTACTAGGTACTTTAGTCAAATTTTTAAAATTCCCTCAACACCAATAAAACCAGCACAGTTAGATAGCTGTAAACAATCTCTTTCCAATGGTACCTCATTTAGGCTTGTATGTCATTTCTGAGCTGAGATATGTAGGTTTTTGTGGAGATGAGATGTAGAAAACAGCTGCTAAAACTTGCCTCTTAGAAATAAGAGGTTTTCTCTGCTCAACCAAACTGCGCAACTTTCGTTTTGGCTTTGTTTACATTGGACAAGATGGCAGCCAATGAGACACAGCCACTGGCTGAGCCAGCGATTGCCTGAAAAATGTCACTGTACATCTACCTAGCCACGGTTCAGAAAAAAATTTTATACACAAATGTAAAAATGGACGGAGAATTCAATTATAACTAGCATTGCCAGTAACAGTTAAAGCCTAAAGCCAACCTTGAATACTTATCGCTATTTTCAATCAAACTGATGTAACAGAAAAACAGAGGACGTCCGGCTGTCGTAGACATGCGCTGTTAATCGGGTTCGTTCCCGCCGTTTTCAGCTATTTAGAGTGGGTGAAAATCACACCAATCCCAAAATTTCACGAGAGATTAGGACCCATCCCAAAAGCCCAGCCGACATTTCCCAAACAAGTTTCCAACGGTTTCCATGGTAACGGAAATTGCCAAAAAGACCGCAAATTGTCGAAACTGTAGTCACTATCCGAATAACGGTCGTAAATTATCGAGGCGGAAAATATACCCCAACAGGGCCTCAGTCACATGTCTATTGCGCACTTTCGAGGACTATAATGCCACTGCCGAATTGCGAACTTCGGCCACCGCCGAGAATGTCCCCCACGCCGCGTGGGTTGGGGCTCAACTAGCTAGGATTCACGAGCAAATAAAATGAAAATGAAGGAAGCTGCAGGAGATGCGGTAGCTGCTGCTTGTGTCCCAGCCATTTAGTTTAGCCCCAATCGACGCAGCGTGGGTGATACTCTTGGCGGTGGCAGAAGTCGCCTGAAGTGCGCAATTTAAGACGACGGAAGTGCGCAATTGACACATGACTGAGGCTCAGTTAGGGTATATTTTCCGCCTCGATAATTTAGGACCGTTATTCGAAGGATAGCCTATGTGTGTATTATTATTTTTGAAAACAATATATGTAATTTAATCGGGCTATCCTCCGTATAAGGAGCGTAAATTATCGAGGTGGAAAATATACCCTTGAACAGACAGGGTAGGATGCGATATATTGGAGCTTTGATTAAACTTGTTATTGGGCTTAACTGTAAAGGATCATTTTGACCATACCTGGCTGCCTCTACAGGGTTTCTCAGTGAAAGCTACAAGAAGAGTGTCTTCACCATACGTTCACTGTAGTACCAGGAAGGGAACACAAGTCACACTCAAAATGTGGCAGGACCTACGACCCCTAACTCAAAATTCATTTGACGAGACCTATGACTCCCTAAAAAAAAGTATGTTGCAAAAGGCAACTAATTAAAGGTTAGCAGGAAATCTGTGTTGGCCTGAAAGGTGCAGATATCACAGCCTAGCTGTAAACCACCATGCAATGTGCTAACCACTCTTTTAAGGAAAAATGCAGAAGACAAATATAATTTAGCCTGTCTGTCAGCAACTTATTCCACATTCTGAAGGTTTGTTGACATTTAGTTATCCTGCTAGTATATTTATCCTTGTCCATGTAGGGTAGCCAGTTTAGAACAGTTGGCTGTGGCGAGGAGCTAACTTTCTTGATTTTAATATTCAGTTTATTTAAAGGTTCATAATTGTACTTTATTTTGGATTATTCTGTTTTTTTAAATATGTCATGTTTATTTATTTTTAGCTTCTAAAAATCTGACATGAATTTCCTTGTTTCCGCAGCTGTGTCGAGTGCGTGCTGTAATTGTTGACAATGGCTTTGTCTTTGGTGAGAACACTATCATCGACTTTATCGCCTTTCCTGTCTGCGGCGGCAGCATCAAGAGCATTACCTGCGATGGACATGACTGTCAGAAACGCTTCAAAAAAATCTGGTGGTTCTACAAGGAACACAGTTGGCAGACCCAGAAGAAAAAATCGAGGCATTAAAGTTCAGGACGGAGCTTTTGTCCACAAGGGAGACCTGTTAGTGAAGCAGTATGGTCTCAAGTTTTACCCTGGAGAGCATGTTTACATGGATGATCAGTGGTCACTGAGGGCGGCACATGATGGCATTGTTGTCCTGACAACAGAGCAGCTGAATCCCTACCCAGACAGCCCTCTGTATCAACACATTCAAAATGGATTTGTTATGAACAAGCATTTCTTTAGTGTCATCCCAACACCTCTGCATGGCAAATTTAAACTTGTTTCTGAAACATAGTATCAGATGACTTGTTTCTAAAACATAGTATCAGATAACTTGTTTTTAAAACAGTATCCGACGACCTGTTTAAGTTTTTCAGACTTGTAGTTATTGCATTGTGGATTATATTTTGTGTGTTATAGTGTATTGTTAATGTGACAGCACGTTATGCCTTATTGTAAAACCCTTGGATGCTCTGTCCGTCCACAGCAGGTTTATGTAGTTGATTGTGACGTTATCATGCCGATTGTAAAAAGTTCACATTCATCCTCTTGTGTGTCCCTACTTGCTGAAACCACAATTACATCTGAATTTAAGCATCCTTAAATGAGTTTTATTTTTTCAAAAAAATCTGTCTAATTATCCCAGTTTTTATTTTCACAGTGTGGTGAAAAATGATGGCTGCCTCTTTCTGATATTTTTAATGAGTAGTCATATTTTAAAAACTATTTTTGTTTCATTAGGTTAATGGATTTATGGCATCAGCCCATATTTTTAGACTAAAGAAGAATCTTCACTCAATTGATTGTATGGCTAGTGTCATGGAAGGAAATGTCGAAGGCAAGATAACCATATGTGGGCAATATTACATGTTGGAGGACAACATCAAAAGATGGATGGGCAGCAGTCAGAGATGGGAATAAACTCACAGGGAGCAAGTACAGCCGGGATCTACCAGTCGTCAGTAGAAATTATCCTCGTCAAGTGTTTCGGCCCACAATTCCTAGACACTTTCGGAGGTGGGCCCACCTGAGTTCATGAAGCTCAGGGCTGGTACCCTGCTGCACGAAATTACCGGAGAATGTACAACCAGGGCAAGAAACAGATAATGGTGGAGATCCATTACAGCCAACCATCATTGTGGAGACTGACTTGATTCCTTCAAAATTCTAAAGAGCTGCATTGAAGATAATGGGTTTCTCGTTTAAGATATACATACAAGGCGGACCTGTATTGATGAATCTTTACAACAACAAATAGGGAAGCAAGATTAAAAGATAACATTTTTTATTTCACAGTATAAAAACAAAATAGCCCATACATGAAAAAAGATGGCAGGCTTGAAAGTGACAGAACAAGACATAGGCCCTCAACCATCTCATGACCAGCCGTATGTGGACAACGATACAATGTGACATGTTTTATTTCTTTCAGCTGACTGTTGGCCTACTTTCAGGTTCCTGTCTGAACTTTGAACCAGCCCTATCCCTTCTCATTTAAAAAAAAAACCATTCATTTCATTCAGTCACATATTTTGTTTTTGCCAGCAAACTCCTGACTTAATATTTTCATGATGTCACCGTGCCGAAGCCCTTGTTGCCTCTGTTTCACTTCTGAATAACACTCCTTGACAAACATAGCAAACTTGTTTGGTGTGCGTGGTGTGGCTGGAGTCGCTGGCGTCTGGCCATCACTGCTCCTGGAGTGCAGCTGTCTGGTCAGGTACAGCTCAAACTTTCCATGGCAGTGACCACAGACTTTTCTATCTGTGTCCAAGGATTTTGAATGCCGGCCAATCCTAGGAAAGAAGGGTGTAGTCATCAATAAGCCATATATTTGAAAGTAAATTTGTATAAACACACAGAGAGAGAGTGTGTGTGCGAGTCTTTCTCAAATATTTTTAAACTGATAATTAATGTCCCACCAGTCTACAAGGGATTGCCTCCTGTACAACTGTTAGATTAATGTCCCACCAGTCTACAAGGGATTGCCTCCTGTACAACTGTTAGATTAATGTCCCACCAGTCTACAAGGATTGCCTCCTGTACAACTGTTAGATTAATGTCCCAACAGTCTACAAGGGATTGCCTCCTGTACAACTGTTAGATTAATGTCCCAACAGTCTACAAGGGATTGCCTCCTGTACAACTGTTAGATTAATGTCCCACCAGTTTAATGTCCCAAATCATTTCTATATTTGCTCATGTTGTAGTGTCTGTGTGTATTCCAGCTAGGGAGATATTTCACACCGTTATCATTTTGCAGATCTTTTGCTGAACATTACCCCTGTCACAGCCCGCCGGGAAAAACTCTTAAGCCCTTTGTCAATTCCGTTGCCCCATTATGATGGTGGACTCCTGACACAGCGTGCCAGGACACTTCCTGATCCCCTGTCACATGCACTTTCATGATGTCGTGTTGTGATGGTGGACCTATGATTTAACTCCAATCTCTGGAATGTGTTGTTGATGAGCCAGTTTTCTTCAGTGTTCAGAACTTGCAGGCTGTCATGGTATACAAGAACAGTCGATCTTTTCAACTGTAAGAACAGTCAACATCTTCAACCATACCAAGAACATTTTACAGTTGGGCACTTCAAGTAGAACAAAGACAGACAATTAGCTCAACCATAACAAAAACATATTACAACTGGGCACCACAAGTATAACAAGATCAGTTAATTAGTTCAAACATAACAAAAACATATTACAACTGGGCACTTCAAGTATAACAAGGACAGTCAATTAGTTGAACCATAACAAAAACATATTACAGAAGGGCACTTCAAGTATAACAAGGACAGTCAATTAGTTAAACCATAACAAAAACATATTACAACTGGGCACTTCAAGTATAACAAGGACAGTCAATTCAACCATAACAAGAACAGATTAGAGTTGGCCTTGCAACTAGACATCATACATGATCAGAAAATGGCTGCAGTGACTACAAAAAAGATAATCAACATAACCATCACTTAGCAAAACATTTCACAAACAATATTCACAATGATAGCACGTGTGCCTTCTGTTTGCCTTCACATGAACAAAATACAAAACAAGTTTAAAAATTAACACACACACAAAAAACTGAATGAGGATACCTGTACTTGCAGTGAACACACTGGTAGGTGTACTTGGTTGCAATTCTGTAGCTGTGACAGCGAGCTATGACTGGCATGAACGAGAAAGTTCTGTTTACCTTCCGGGCCCTGGACATAAAAAAAAAAATACAAGTCATTGTAGCAGGATCAACTAAACTTCACTGTGAGTAAACAGTTACAGCGTAGAATTGTCTTCGGCCTTTTTCTCTCAAAGGAGCTTAGGCCCTCGACCAGTTCACAGTAGGCCCTTTTTAAGTTTTTTCATGACTGGTCGGATTTGGCAAGAAAAGTTTTCTTCAGGATGAGCTAGCAAGTTTTTTTGCCAACCCTTCTTAGTGACCTCTTTAGACATCTATGGTAGGTCATTATTTCCTAATATGGGGTGCAGTAACCCACAAATGACAGCTAAAGAATCAACAAAAAGCTTTAGTTTTTGCTGAATCCACTGGTAGAGTCTGAATTTTATGCACTGGTGTCCCAGGTCATCTGTGCCCAGAAATGGTAAGAGAAAAAAACTTTCCGCCCAACCTGGCAGTCCATGGACACTTGTCCTTGTGATCGGCGCTTATTTCCCTCTCCAAGATGTCTTCTTTTCTGTAGATCCTGCTCTGTCTTTCCCCATCAGGTTGTAAAAGGGCATCTGATGCAAGCCAGATGCTGGCGTTACTTAACTGTATTTACTTAGTCACCCCTCTTCTACCTTGCGGTGTAGAGGTTTGCCAGAGAGATCTCCAGACTTCTTTATCAGCAGTTTTGTGTGTGTGGCTTTGTTAAATTCTAGTCCTCTATCAGTCAAGGAATGTTAGATGTTGTCTTCCCAGTGAACCCTGGGTCGTTCTGGTTTTAGCCTGCCTTTTTTGGCAGGTTTTCTCCAATTCTGCATGCATGTCCAAACCATCATAACAGTGAATTAGCCACCTGCTGAGTTTGTTACCTAGGTTTCCAGGTCATGATGTATTGTCTGATTGCGAACTTTGTCCCTCTCTTCTCAAGCTCTGTCTTCCAGACATGTAAGCTGGAATTAAGATGTGTCTATGTTTAGCTATCAGGACCACATCGTCTGCAAATGCCAACTCTGATATACAGGTTGGTCTCATATTCCAGTACCCTACTGAGTACTTCTTTGTCTTCTCCTTACAGACCATGATGACATTATCCATCTGAAGGTTGAAGAGGTAGGGTGAGAGATTTACCTAACGCCGCTAGTGGTCTTACATTCTTCTGACTTTTGGCATCCTACTTTTTTATTTCTAGTTTTTGTAGAAACTGTATTGCACTGATCAGGGGTGCTGGAATGTTCTTCTCTGCCAAGCGGTCCCAGATTTTGCTCCAGGGAACCTTATCAATTGCCTTTTCTAGAACTTTTCACTGATCTGTTTGAGTGTAAAAATAAGGTCTTGAGCACTTAGATTTGCTCTGAAAACTACACTGAGCCTGGTCCAGCTGTGGTTCCACAAGACAACTGAGTCTGTTCATGAGTTCTATACCCACCAAGATTCCTACATAGATATATTAGCGATAGAAACAACATGACAGATCAACACCCACCAAGATTTCTAGAGATACACAAGAGACTGAAATAACATTACAGAACAAGACCCATCAAGATACCTACAGATATACAAGTGATAAGAACAACACCCACCAAGATTTCTAGAGATACACAAGAGACTGAAATAACATTACAGAACAAGACCCATCAAGATACCTACAGATATACAAGTGATAAGATCAACACCCACCAAGATTTCTAGAGATACACAAGAGACTGAAATAACAGAACAAGACCCATCAAGATACCTACAGATATACAAGTGATAAGAACAACACCCACCAAGATTTCTAGAGATACACAAGAGACTGAAATAACATTACAGAACAAGACCCATCAAGATACCTACAGATATACAAGTGATAAGAACAACACCCACCAAGATTTCCAGAACACTCCATGACCCTCATTGATGTTATTGATAAGTCTGACTGCTGCATGACAAAGTTCGTGTGCAAGAGTGTCCCTCACGCGCTCTGAGAATAAATATACGAGGAAAATATATCAGTTGACACAAATGACTTCTAAATAATACACTCGGCTCTCATGCAGGAGACACAGGTGTGACCACGGGTAAAATGATAAAGAGTTTTTCTATCGGAGACGACTAGTTACATCCTAACATGTACACCTTGTAGAGAC